CTTTTTGATTCTTTTATACTGATCCAGAAACAAGGAATGCTTGCTATTTATGAACTGTACCCTTCCAAAAATCATGTTTTTAAAATAAAAAAACAGCAATTTGGTAAAGGAACAGGGAAAAATCTAACTGAAAGGTATCACTATATTGTTGGCAGGGTTAGCACATTGGAAAAATATATGGGGCGTTAAGAACACTAAACAACCCTAAGCAAAAATCATTCCTTGTGAGATTAATTACTATTAATGAGAGAATTGTTGAGTCAAATGTTGAGTCACCTCTGGTTCATTGCTTTGCTGGGGTTGGGTGTCAAGAGGGTTGGGGAGAATGAAATCAAATGAGCCAAGAAGCCTTCTTAATAATCCTTGCATTTGATATAGCGCCTTATTATGTCTTCAAGACATCTCAAGTCATTTCACAGAATATACTTTAAAGTGAATTGACTGTATATTTTATGGGCGAAACGCGGCAGCCAATTGTAGACAGCAGTGTTCCAGATTAGTGACCTTCCTTTTGAAGGAATTATTACCACCTGAAAAAGTGATCCGCCAATCGACTAACAACCAGATTTTTACTTACTGCTAGGTAAACAGAGGTACGTATATTATAAAAGCAGAAGTAAACTGTAGAGAATTAAATTGCACCACACTCTAATAATTCCCCAAACTTCTCCAAAGCAATTGGATTACTTGAATAATATTTTTTTAAAAATATGAACAACTCGGTTTACCTTATTTGTAGTGTCTTCACCTCCAAACAGATCAAGGGTAATCATGTATATATTGTAAATTATTTTATTGAACTCACAATTAATTCATTTTTCTGGAAATCTTTAATTGTTTTGCACACATCTCTGCTTAGTTAAATGTTTTGACCTGAGGAATGATCTTCAGGGCATTTTGTGTCTTAAAATCCTTGTACCATAGCAATAGTTTGAGGATATGAATCATTTATTTTTGCTGCAAAGAAAAGTTTCTTTACCTTTTAACAAGATAGTACTTGTCTTGCAATACGATGCTGCTGTACAAGGTATAAATTCACTGTCTCTTGCACGCAAATTGGGATTTTGTTTCTCAGTTTATACTTTTACCAAGTAAGTAAAAATTAAAGTGGTCAGCATGCAGGATTCAGATGTAGAATACGCACACTGTGTTAGACTGAATCTGGAACTGAACTGTTTTCTGTTCAGTTTTGTTTCTGGTTTCATTTCAGATTTCCAGCACCTGCAATGTTTTTATCTTTTTTTACGATTGTTTTCCTGTAAAAAAAATGACAGGAACATATTCATTGCGAAAGTGATCAAGAAAGACTGCGTGTGGGATAATTGCTTATGCAAGATTAATGAGTTTATAGATGTAAACTAGCAATGAATAGTGGTTGTCTTGCATTGATTTTCACGCATATAGCCTCAGTATAGCTCCAATGTCTGCCTTTTACTTATATAAGATCCATGTAATTTTGATCTAATACAGTCAGTTCTTTTCGAATAATGGAAAATATAACAAAAAAAAATGGAAGCTCCTAAACTGCACGCATATGTATTTGAAAGAATAAGCATCATCCCTTCCACAGATGGCAATAGCTGCTGTTATCACAACTTGCATACTTTCATCCTCTGCTAATCCACTCATTCCCATTCACAATACCACTCCAGCTGTTGCCTCTAGACCATGACTTGAGAGTTCTGTTGTGCTATCCAACTCATTTTACTGGGGACTAGTAGTTTTGTGAGGTTTGAGACTAGGACGTCCTCCCGACGTGAAAAGCCCTATATCAAATGCAAGGATTATTATTATTATAATAATACTCATAATAATCCTTGCATTTCATGTAGTACCTTTCACGTCATTGAAACATCTCAAATATCAGATTACTGTAAAGTGAATTAATTGTGTATTGTGGGCGAAACCCGGCAGCCAACTGTGCATATACAGGAGTAACTGGAGTAATATAATATAATTTTTTTCTTGTTTAAATAAAACTAATGACTTGCTTGCAGATCAAATGCAAGAACTATTGCACAAGGCAAAAGAGGGCATGGAATTTGATTCCAATACTCCGATTATTTTCTTTTGCACGGGACTTGTTTTACCTTCAAAGCCAATGATTGATGACTCAACTCAGTATAGGTTTCCTAAACTAAAAGGAATTCAAAGATAAGAGATTTATGGTTAACATAAAACTATTTGCAAGATAGCCACACCTTTTTATTGTCAAGGGTGCAAGCTATTTGTAACAATAATAATAATCCTTGCGTTTGATATAGTGCTTTTCACGTCTTCTAGACGTCCTAAACTGCTTCACAGAATGTGCTGTAAAGTGAATTGACTGTATATTTGTGGGCGAACGCGGCAGCCAATTGAGCACAGCAATGTCCCACAAACAGTCATGGATTGAAAATGACCAATTTATTATTGGTTTTGGTTTTTTGGAGGGATTATTATTGGGCTCTGTGTGGAGTAAGGAAACTTGTCCAAGGTTTCGCCCTCTGCCTGGAATTGAACTCAGGTCTCTCACTTGCAAAGCGAGTGCTCTAACCACTGAGCTACAGGACTCCACTGTACCTGTTACTCGGTATATTTAACAATATTTAACAATATGAATAATCATTGCATTTGATATAGTGCCTTATCATGTCATTGAGACGTCTCAAAGCGCTTCACAGAGTATATTGTAAAGTAAATTGACTGTGTACATTGTGCATGAAATGCGGCAGCCAATTGTGCAAAGAAAGCAGTGTCCTACATTCCAGGGTCATGGAATGAGTGACCAAATGTTTTTTGAGGGATTATTATCCCCAAAAAGGAATCTGTCAATTAACATGGCTGGCTTTCAGGTGAGATATTTAATCACATACTAGATATTCACATAGACAATAAAGATCCCATTAATCGGAGGAGAAGGGAGTTTCTCCTGGTTTTCTAGCCAATAATCATTCAAATTAATTGCTCACTCATCTCTTGGCTGTTTGGGAGACTTGGCTGCTGCAATTGTGTATAAAAACAACACCAACAACCTAAAGCGCCTTTCACTTGAGTAGTATCTTGGAGCACTCAACAGTGGTGTGGTTTGATACCAAGCTGGACGGAAGGGGGAGGTGACTGAAGACATGGTCGAAGAGGAAAGTCTTCAGCTGTGATTTAACGATTGGCAAAGAAGGGACAAGATGGAAGGATTGAGGCAAGGAGTTTCAGAGATTCGGAGCACAGTGGCTGAAAGCACCCCCACCGATGGTAGACGTGGAGTGGAAGGGACGAAGGACATGCAGAAGAGCGAAGGAGGTGGGTAGAGAAGTGGGGTATGAACAGGCCATACTTGATAATAAATTACTTGTGAAGCACTTTCAGTTCTTTCAATGTGATAAGGTTCTATAAAAATGGGACCCTGTTCTCTTCTAAATGTACCAGTAGTGGAGTCCTTCATTGAGAAATGTTTTTCATCATGTTGTTATCACACCCTCTGATCAAATATCACACTAGAGTGAAGACTTTGCATTGATTTGTCGATAATAAATCATAAGACCTTTAATTACCAACTGACTTTCCTCGCAAATCCAGGTCAATTGAATAATTCGAGAACAGAACTCATAAAGCAAATTGCTCCTGGCAGACACTCTTTGATTTCTTTTCCCAGAAAATATTACCATTCTTGATATAAAAATAATAATAATAATCCTTGCATTTGATATAGAGCTTTTCAAATCTTCTAGATGTTCTCAAAGCCCTTCACAGAATATACTATAAAGTGAATTGACTGTATATTTGTGGGAAAAACGTGGCAGACAATTGCGCACAGCAGCGTGCCACAAACAGTCGTGGATTGAAAGCCACCAAATTTTTTTTTCTTGAGGGATTATTATCAGGCGTGTTGAGTCAGAAAACTTGCCCAAGGTTTCGCCCTGCCAGGAATTGATCCCAGGTCTCTTGCGAGGCGAGTGCTCTAACCACTGAGCTACAGGATGCTTAATGGTTTGTAGAATATGCTTCTGTCTTGATGTTCAAACGACAGCCACAGAAATGCCTGCTTAAATGTGTAATTAAATGCATTTTCCTTTAACTACAATGGAGTCGTAGCAATAATAATAATAATCCTTGCATTTGATACAGCTCCTTATCATGTCGTTGAGACGTCTCAAAGCGTTGATGGAACATATACTGCGAAGCGTATTTTGTGGGTGAAACGCAGCATCCAATTGCGCACAGCGGCGTCCCACACACAGTCATGGATTGATCGAGTGGACCAAATTTTTTTTACTAAGGGTTTATTAACCCCCCCCCCCACCTCCCCATCCCCCCACACCGCTCCCCACCTTGAAAGTAATCCGCCAACAACAACAACAACAACAAGATTCCACTTATAAAGCGCCTTTCACGTCAGGAGGACGTGCCAGCCAATCCACTGGTCCCTATAAGCTTACTAAACAAGAGGTGTGCGGAGTAAAGAAACTTGCCTAAAGCTACAATGCTGTGGGTTGTATTGTTACTAGGGTGGTGTGGGGTGGATGTGAGGGGAAAAAAAACAACAGGTGGGGTGGGGAAATCTTTGCTGTCTTTCTTTTAGTGGGGGTGTGGAGGAGAAAGAAGGTTTTGAACCTGCGGCAAATTGCTCAATCGCATGATTGAGCAAAGCACAGCCCACTTAGCCTTTGGGTTTCAGGAACATAGTCTGAACAGAGGCGTGTCGTTTGGCTCCAGTGGGGAGGGAGGGAGGCTGTCACGTCTGTTCAGTCTAGTGTGGTTTGTGCCCGTCCTTTTCTCTTCAAACTCCACGTTAAGTGGAAAGCCAGATAAACGTCTTCTCTGTCTCTCTTTTTCCCCTTTCTTTTCCCTCTCCCCCCCTCCATCTCCCCCTCACCTGTAGTTGGGGGTGGGAAGATTTCCAGGACTGCAATCGATGGGACATGTCCTCCTGCTGCTGATTCCTGGTAGAGATCTCGCTGTTGCTTTGGGTGGGTGGGTGGGTGGGTGGGTGGGGAGGGGGTAGTGGGTGGGTGGGGAGGGTGGGGGATTGTATTTGTTCTCCACTTGTTACCCCCTCCTCCAAAAAAAAACAACAACCACCCCTGTGGAGGATTTCACTGGGGATATTTTTTACGCTTCGGGGCGGGTGGGGAAAGGACTGGAGGTACAGAGACCCCAGAGAGAGGGAGAGGAGGGAGAGAGAGAGGGACCATGTCTACCTTGTGGCCACTCACCATCTCCGCGTCGGAGACCCTCAACCAGACGGCAGCGACCCAGTGTCAGGTGAACAAGACCTTTCGGTTCCAGTACCTGCCCCCCATCTACATCATGGTCTTCGTGGTGGGCTTTTTGGGCAACTGCTGGGCGCTGCTGTCCATGCGCTTCCACCGGGTCAAATGGACGGGGATCAACGTCTTCCTGTGCAACCTGGCGCTGGCCGACCTGCTGTATGTCATCACCTTGCCCTTCTTGGTGGTCTACTACGCCAGCCGTGGCCACTGGATCTTCGGGACGGTCTTCTGCCGAGCCACCCGGCTCCTCTTCCACCTGAACCTGCACGGGAGCATCGGGTTCCTAACCTGCATCAGCGTCCAGCGCTACCTGGGCATCGTGCACCCCATGAGGGTCCTGGGCAGGGTGAAGACCCACCACTCGGTGGTGACCAGCGTGGTGGTCTGGCTGGTGGTGGTCATCCAAACCGCGACGGATCTGTACTTCAGTAAAACCAACCCGAACAGCACCAAGTGCTACGACACCACCTTCGACGACGCCTTGCCGGCTTACATCACGTACAGCCTGACCCTGTCTGTGGTGGGCTTCCTGCTGCCCTTCGCCATCACCTTGGGGTGCTACGCCCACGTGGTGGTGGTGCTGACCCGAAACCCTAATGTGGACCCGATCTTGAAAAGCCGCTGCCTGCGGCTGGTGGCCATCGTCACGGTTCTGTTCTCGTTTTGCTTCACGCCCTACCACATTCTGAGGAACGCCAACTTGCTGGCCAGGTACTTGCAACTCCAGGGAAGCTGCACTCGGACGTCCAGGGCGATCTACATGGCGTACCAGGTGTCCCGAGGGCTGGCGAGCCTGAACAGCGCCATCAATCCGCTCGTTTATTTCATAGCCGGAGATGAAATCAAGTCTCGGATGCAAAAGATCAGGAAAAAACTGTCTCATTCCTTGTCCAGGTCAGTGACATGGTACACCCACCTCAATTCTTCCAATAAGAGTAAAATGTTGACTGCAGTCTGAAGATTACCCCATTATAAGTGGTTTCCCCTCTGCCTTTAGATTCTTTTTTTTGTTCAGTGAACTGTACAAAAGAAGCATTTGCTCAGGCGTGTTTCGGCAGTATAGCTCTTATTCCTCGCTAATGCTTTCCACTTAACAGCACCAACATAATATTAATAATCCTTGCATTATTTAATATCTATTTGATATGTTGGAGTCCTTAGGCTCAGTGGTTAGAGCACTCGCTTTGCAAGCGAGAGACCCGAGTTCAATTCCAGGCAGAGGGCCAAACCTTGGGCAAGTTTCCTTACTCCACACAGAGCCTAATAATAATCCCTCCAAAAAACCAAAAACAATAATAAATTGGTCATTTTCAATCTACGACTGTTTGTGGGACATTGCTGTGCGCAATTGGCTGCCGCGTTCGCCCACAAATATACAGTCAATTCACTTTACAGTGCGTTCTGTGAAGCGCTTTGGGACGTCCTCCCGACGTGAAAAGCGCTATATCAAATGCAAGGATTATTATTATTATTATTATGTTCAATTCATGCAAATCTGTGTGCAAACAAAGTGACTGTATTTTGGAGACCATTGTGGCAACCTATTTTACCTGGGGGACTGTTATAGTAATAATAATATAATAATCCTTGCATTCGATATGGCACCTTATCACATCGAGACGTCACAAAGCGCTTCACAGAATATACTGTAAAGTGAATTGTCTGTAATATTTTGTTGGCCGGGACATTGGAGATACTCCCTTTTCTTTTCAAGTGGGATCTTTAAGGTCCAGCTGAACTGAGGACCTTGGTTTAATATCTCAGCCTAAGGACTGCACCTCCAACAGTCAGTTCTTCCCCAGCACCGCACTGGAGGGTCAGACTAGACTGAGTCCCAAGTTTCGGATGTAGCTCCCACAACCTTCCACATGTTTCCACAACCACAAGATTACATTTGTATACCTTTTGCAACAGAAGCTAGAATGCTACCAGCTGAACTAGGCTAACGTTCACGAATGCCGCATATAAATATTTTTTTTAAAAAGATTGTATTTATTTGAAGGATGTTTGTAGAAGATTTTCATTTCCTAGGCGAAAGATGCATGAGTACATACGGTTATGTGCGAATCATTTTGAATGCAAACTTTTGGCAATATTTTCAATTTGGGATATGTTTTCCTACTCTCCTGCCTAAGTCAGTATTGAAGTCCAGGTGGATTGAGATATTTCAGTTACTCTTTGTGTTCTTTGTAGTTCAAATAAAACATTCTGTTGGAGGAAATGCCACCTGAATCAATATTTACCCTCCTTAGGAAGCATTTTAGAACATTCAAAGTCTGCAACAAGCATAAGTTTTCTGTAAGTTCGTTTAAGGAATACCGAAAACCAACAACACTGTTAAGACTCAATTCAGCAATTTGCCAAATTCTGATCGCTATGAAATGCTACTTAAATGCTGTTTGTGCCTTGTTTGCTGATCCATTTGTTTTTCATTTGTTGACAAATGAGAGGATTTCTGCTGTGAAAAAAATATTGAAATATTTACTATTCAATATTTTTGGAATTTAAATGTTTTTTGTAGAGTAACTGTCTCCAAACAATAATCAATCACCTACTGTGGAATGCTCCTCGAAAACAACTTGTTTGGGTATTTCGTTCCCTGGGTTTGTCTAATGCTGTACATGTGAGATTGAGATTTTATTGCACATCCTTTAATGATGTATTCTACTGCACTACATATATTTCACAGTTTATGTTGGTTCCTATAATCAATTCCACCATTAATGGAATAGTGGAATTGGGTATGAGACTAACACATTCATGCCTATTTGATTAGCCTTCTGTAAATGTATATGGTTCTATGCATTTAGTCTTCTTATACTACTTCATCAAATGAGCACATGGAAATATTAATTCTGCTTTCTTGTACAGAGAAATATTGAACGAGTGTGTTTTTTTTACAGTGCTTGAGATGCTTTTATGTTATTTTTGCTAATTNAAAAAAATACATTCTCTAATTCTGGAATTCTTTGCCTCCTTTAATAGATCTCAACATTCTGCTTTTATAAGATTTCATTTCAAACTATGGTTTAAGGCAGGAGAAGACTGAATAAAGGACTGCATCAGGATTTTGTTTGCCACATTAAATAATAAAACATGGAATTTTAACCTAAACGTTATTTTGACCCTTTGAAGGATTAATGCAATTTCAAAATATTGCCCCTTTCAACATACAGTAATTGAAAAACAGGCATTTAAGAGCATTCAGAGTATGACACAACTATTATTTCGAAGTCAGTTTTCTGTAAGTTTTTTTTCGAAATACAGAAAATCCACTTCACATTCAAGATTGAATTAAAAAAATGCCAAATTCTGAATGAATTCTGCTACAAACACAAAGTTAAGACCTAATTTACTTAGTATGAGCTCTGTTCAGAACAAAAACGCTTTGTTGAAGGGGATTTTGTAAAAAAAAACATAAGCTGATGCATATGTAAATAGTTTAAGATTACAAAGCTGTTATAACAAGTATAGAACCAATATCATCGAACAAATCAAAGTTTATTAGAATGGGATAAATTGTTGCTTCTCATATGCTGTATCGAGTCATGTGTACATTGCCACCTACATTTTCATATGTGTTTATCAAAGGTGTTTGTCACGTTGGTGAGGTATTGGAAAGCCACCAGAGCTTGTAATACAATTTATCGTGAGTCACCTCCATTTGGAAAGGAGAGAATAAAATGGGCAAAGGTGGCAATGGTAATTGATTAAGGCAAATTAAGTTTAATAGAAATAAATGCAAGGTACTACACATGGGAAAAATAGGAAATATTAGGAGCGGTCCAGGCTCTAGAGCAATGAAGAGGTTAAGAGTATTACAGGAATGGAGCTGTGAGGAACAATTAGTTAAGCTCCGGCTCCTCAGTTTTGAGAGAAGATGACTCAGAGGGATCTAATAGAGGTGTTTACGATTCCAAATTGGATAGAAAAAATAAACCCAGAACAATACTTTGCACTGTACCCGGGCAATAGAACAAGAGGACATAGGTTCAGAGTTAGAAAGGTCAATTTCATGACAGACGTCAGGACATTTTTCTTTACCCAGAGGGTTATTAACAACTGGAACAGATTGCCAGAATAGAGTTGGTTGTTGTGATAGAGTTGGTTGTTGTGACCTGGATCCTGGAAAAGCAAATTGATGCTACGGTGGCAGAAAGTAGATGTGCTGAAGGCCCTTATTCAACAAATCATTCCTGTGATCTTGTTATATATTTTATAACATGGGAGAACCGGCAGGAATCAAGGTTCAGCAGTTAGTTAATGGAACTTTCAACAAGATGAAATTCCTGATAAGGTTTTTTTAATGATGTTCTTTTTTAAGACGACATTGTAGGGAGCGGGTAGCTATTACAGGAGATGGCTTTCATTGCATCTGTGAACGTTTTTGTCACCGAGTTGATAGTTGTAAACATCTGAGCATCTCATACTGACCTATGAGTGAAGACTTTTGATTCACTCTATGTATAAAAGCAATGCACAATACACATGTTAAATTTGACAAATGTTTCATGAATGCTTTTATCAGACCTTCCTGAGAAGGCAGCCAAGGAGGAAACGAAACACTTTTCCTAAAGTAATTTCAACCTGTCTTAGATGGACCGACGCAGTTATTATCTCCTCAAGGACTTAAGAAGACTGACAACAGAAAATTACAATACACACACCCTGAGTACCGAAGAAGCAGATGCCTGCCAAACTTGAACTGTTTCTGGTCCATGAGAACAATATTCTTAAAAACTAAACTGAAGAGTGTATCCATTCGATAGTATTTGTAGTGACTTTTTACCAGGTCTCTATCAATATCCCTCTGAATCTAGCTCCAGGACATGTCAGCAATGGGGTTGAATCTTGGTGGTACAGAAAATTCAGCCTATCTATAACCCGATTAGCAACTCTGAGTCACTAATCCCGAATCCAATTGCGAACCACCACTTTTTTGGACCCTAAAAATATCATCAAGTTTTTTAAAAAAACAGTATACATGCCAAAGAAATCTTAATTCAAAAAACATTCTCTTCCATTAATTATCAATGTCAGATGATGTGATAATGGCAATGTGCAACATTCCCTCTGTAAGCACTGAAAGTTTCAGCCCTCTGCTACAAAGCAACTTTGCTTGGCAGCGCAAGCTCTTGGCTTCCATTATCGACCAGAGTAAACTCTATTAAAATGACAATTATGTCAGAGAGCCATTTCTTGTCACTCACAATCCCATTTCCAGTAAAACGCGAGCACATTAGCAAATGCATTTTTCATCACTAGATCAATAGAATCTAAACTCCTTCTCTACCCACCAACAGAACAGTACGAAAATGTATTACACAACAGGACACCAAATGCCAACTGTAAGGATTACTAACCGTCATGAAGCCAAATGTACCCCTTTCATTTCAGCAACATCTCATTGGGTGCCGTGTTTGTAATTTCATACAGCAGCAGACAGAACGGGTGATATTAAAGCTGATGACAAGAGGAGAATTATCCTCTTTATGGGAATTTAAATGCCAAGACCAGTTATTTGCTTTGGACGGAGCAAGAGTATGTGCGTCATTTTCACCTTAGCAGACACATTATCATGGTTATGTTAGCTGTTAAATGTTGACCTGGAATCCTCCTCCTTAATTGCCTTTCCAGCGTCTTAAACTGTAAAGTTGACCGCAACTTTCAGGCACCAGTGCAGCGATTGATTACTATACCTGACTTTTGTAGCTCACAATCTTGAGGTGTATCTAAGAGGTCATAAATTCATCAATAATTGAGATACTATAACACATTTTGGTATGTTTAAAGTACTTTAAACATAAAGCACTTTAAATCAAAATCCATCAGATAGCTGGGAACATTTGGGGATCATAATGGATATAGCTGGTTTGAAATATTCACAAACACCATTAGATGGATTGATTTACAAAATAGTTTCCTCGGAATTCAATTATAGAATTCAACTGCATTTCCTATTTGTGTGTCTGTCTGCGATGTTAAATTGTTGACTCCGCAAACAAACCATTTTAAACTGTATCCAATGAAATACATCACCGTACATTCTCAATTGCTATGGCGAGTACAATGCATATTGACACATAATTTATTTTCAATAAAAGCCCATCAATGTCCTTTAATCCCCCCTAGTTTTCCCAACTTTTCCATGCACTTTTTAAGATTCTATTGTTCCTCGCCATTGTTGACTGTTATTTGTGAAAGATTTGAGAAACAACAGGAGCAGGAGATATATTGAAGCTCCAAACGAATGAATCAAGTTATTCTATCAACATCAGTAGTTATCACTCAGAAGTATCATTCTTTCGAATATACATCAGAGTTAGCTAACGAAAATAACAAACGTTCCTTGCATTTCATCTTGTGCCTTATCACATTGTCGAAACATCTCAAAGCACCTTGCAGAATGTACTGTAAAGTGTGGTGTTTCTAGGCAAATGCAGCAGTCAATTGGCACCCAGCGACTCTCCACAAACAGCCATGAAACGAATGACCAATATTATCTGGGAAATTGTTGGGCAGGACAAACAAGCTCCTCGGTTGCCGGGAAACTGGCAGCAAGTCCCTGAGCAATCGATCCGAGTGGACAGGTATCCCACTCCGCTGTAGCGAGGTGTCTGTCAGGCCAATCACACCCCCAGCAAGTTGGGGTGACATGGGTTTTCGGAGCTGAGTTGAGCCCGAGCTAAACCGACAAGTAATTGAGTCGCAGCTGCAGTTGCAATGTGTTGATGTGCTTTAAAGCTGCCGCTGTGGCTCGATCTCTCTTTTGCGGTGAACAAATCTTTAAAAATGTGAACACTTTAAAAGATTTGAAAGCAAACCGCTTAGAAAAATATATCCTATTAAGCCAATAAAATTGTATGTTTTGTTAGGCCAAAGCAAACATTTAACGGAACCTAACTTGGTAAAAAAAATATATTGGTGTGTTTGGGATTATGTAAGGCCATGAAAGTAGATTCCGCATTGGATAATTGAAATTATTCTTAGGGAGTCCAAGAATCACAGAATCTCTGTGTATGATATTTGGCTACGTTTCTTTTTCATGCTTAGAATCTTGTTGCTTTTGGTGAGTGGGACAGCCTTTAAAAATGCAACATTGCCTTTATAATTTTATTGATTACTTTTCCTAATTCAGCAAACACTGACGACCCTGGCACAAAACAGGCAAAATTGATTATACAGTATATAGTTCTGCATATTTCCAAGTTTATTTTGAGCGTAAGTTTTCAGGCCACACAGTGGCTTGTTAAATAACATAAACCCAAATTCAAAATGCTCTCTTTGCCAGCGCTGGGGATTTCCTGTGAAAACTTGCTAAGAACGAGGATCTGCCACTGTAAGACTGTTCTTGTGTTCATTTTGTAACGCTTGGCATCCTTACAACTTGCCATGGCATGTCTTTGTAACAGGCTAAAAATTGCCTTTATATTTCCTGGAGTTTATAGGCAGATCCATCCATTCCTTTATGTGTATGTTTATTATGTAAAGTTTGCTCCATATAATTGGTATATAAACACACATTTAAGAAACAGCTTATTGCTGGAACCAGGGGAATGGTATTCTGGAGGACAAGATCAAATGGGCTGAAGTGAACCAGTCTTTTGTTCAGTACCAAGACCCTATGTTTGTACGTTCCAGGGCCTCTTGTTGTAGATTAGGGAAGGCTGTGTGGTGTAAAGGAGCCTAATTTACTCTTGATAATTCTACAACCACAAAATTACATTTGTAGATGTATTGGTATATGTTCCTCAGTTGTGTTTTGTCCACCACTTTGTCTTTTGCGTTCCAGGGTCTCTTGTGTGTTTTTTCCATTTTGGGAAACTCAAAGTTTGCAAGCAGCACATTCATATTTTAAAACATATTGCAGAACAAGAAGGTATCTATACTTTCAGCATACATTAGATTGCATATATCTATAGTCAAAAGGCTGTGATTCCATATGCCAAATGTCTAAAAAAAACATACAAGACAATGCAATCTTTTTATGAACCATTAATGAGCCATTCCCATTATCCTGCTTAGAGCAAAATATAAAAATATCAGATAAACATAATCCCTTTGGATAATTACTTGTTCAGCCAGTAGTTATCCATTGCATAAGTGCCCCAATCAATTCAACGTTTGAACTGCTTTTGGGAAACATTGTTAGTAGCAGGAAAGTGTGGGTGGGTGTTATTTTCTCTCTAGTCAGTCTAAGTGAGCTGAGGTCATCTGCCATAATGGTAAAATCCAATTGAATTTCATTGAGCAATGTTGTTGGCTACAAACACTGGGACAGCTAAGAGCTCTTTAATTTCTAGAGGCATAAATAATGGCTATTCTTATTTTTCCTTGCTAATTGGGTAACGCAATTATTTATGTTCCTAAAATAATGTTAGCTTTTTTTTAATTAAGATGTTGCAAAATTGTAGAAAATTCATTAATTTGCTTTCATTTGGTAGACGCTTTTCCAGATTGTGTAAAACAAAATTGACTTTTCAGTGAATTTAATTTTCCATTAATCTGCATAAACTTATATTTAAAGGTTGAAACCTCCGTGCAAGTTTGAGCCTAAATTTTGAATTTCGATCACGTGTTCATCCAGATTTATTTATATCAAGTTGGAAGTTTTTCAAATTTGGTTGATAATTCAGTGAGTTAAATAAAAACCTCCCGTACCTGTTTTGTGAGTCGTACAGTAACATCAAAAATAGGAGTGGTGCATTCCTTCTGTGGCAATCTTCTCGTCAGCGTTAGGATCTGCATTAGCAACTGTCAGCCTGGGGAATTATCTGTAACATGAACTCTCCTTGTGAAATCTTTGCTCTCTCCATTGAAACCAAAATGTTGCTAAGCCATTGGAATCGTCTATTTTTGTTACTTTCTCAACAAACAATGTGTAAAACACTCTTTTTATTTTAGGTCTCCAGTTCCACAACCCAACGGTCACAGCCAACATCCTCTCCTCAGTTCTTCCTGCTTTCCCTCCCTCCTGATTTCCTTCAATTGGTCCCAGTCAATTGCTCCTTATTTATTAATTAGTATCCAACAGTTTTCTTGTCGATTCCGGGAAGGGCAAATCATGGTTCTGCTTAAGATTTGGACGCGGTTGTTGTAACTAGAAGCAGAATGGGAAAACTTTTTGCAATTAACGCAGCTTAAAACTACAGAAACTGAAGTAAAGAACTTGTTCAATTTTGCTTTAAGAAACAAAACTGCAAGTTTACTTCTCAGATATGGACAGCATGCACTCGATACCAACCAAGGCATTTAAATAGCTGCATATTTACAATAGAACATTTCTGAAGTACGCAGAATACAGTTTATCAAACGCACTAACTTTCAAATTTTGAAAGCAAATGACCAGAAGTGGAAAGATATTTACATAGCACCACCTGGCGGCAAGTGGTTGGTGGCTATCATCAAATGTTTTCAAACCCATTTTATTTTGGTGCAATGAGGAAATTAAGGGTAGAAATGACAATATAGTATTGTGATTTCTATCAATAAACTGTCTGACAAATTAAACATTATAAAAGTGCTTTACTTTTAAGTGAAATTAAATGCAAAGCATAACTAACATTACCTTACTAATATCACCATACTGTACTTTTACTTAACCCATTTATTTTGGCATACAGAATTAAGATTAGTTCTGTTCTGAGCACTTTCACAATTTTTTTAAGTAATTTGTTCAATCAGTCATTTTTATTTATACCAGCATGTTGCTTGAACATCAGGCCATTTCTGTAAAATGAACTGTACCCCACTGAAAATCATGAACGTGATACACAATGAAAAGGTTTCAAAGCTTAAACCCTTCTGAATTTTATTCAAACAAGGTGTAAATGTTACATTGGAGAAGAATGTGGTTGTTGCAGGTTATTCTGCCCTCAAACATCATACTCTCTAACACCCTCACACACTCTTTGTCTGTTGTACTCTCTCTGGTTCAGAAGATTATGGGTTCAAGTCGCACATGAGTACTTTGAGCTAATAGTTTGGGTTAATCTGGTCCAGTACATTGCTCTGGGAGCACTGCATGGTCAGAGGTACAGTTATTCGGTTGTTAAACTGAGGTCACATCTGCCTCTTCAGGTGGACATTAAAAATCCCATTCTAAAAGATGAGAATATCGCTGAGTGTTCCCTCAATAACCCTCCTGATAAAATTGGTTACATGACTGTCATTGGGGCATGTGCAACTTGGCTGGTAGCTTGCCTACAAATAGTCACTAAACTATACACACAAAAAAGTATTCTCTACATTATAGGCACTATATTAAATACAAGGATTAATATTAGATTGCACTACCTTCACAGATGAATGCCTTCACTATTTTCCTCCTACAAATATCATAAATCTATAACGTTCCACATCAGAACATTCTCTAATTGAGCCAAAAGTCTAAGTGAGATGTGGGAGTTTAGTATCTCTAAAGATGAAGGGTTGGGTGTCTAGAGTTAGAATGACAACTACTTTGGTTATGGCCATCAATGATAAATGAGCTTTAGCAGTTTCAGGAAGGATTATACACACTGACAAAGTTATCCTGACAGTAGAAGTGAATTCATTCTAAATTGTACTGTACAATGTTTAAAAAAAGTCAAAATTTGGAGACCGGTTGATTTATTTCAAATGGTGAAGAAAAGCTGCAGGGCTGTAGCAGTAGGGTATTTAAAAATTATACAACAATTAAGCACAGTTTTTAAACACTATAAAAGTTAATGGCAACACATCTTGACATCTTACAATATTTAACAAATTGCATTCTCAGCTGAAATCCAGAACATCCACAATAAGCATTTAAACATCAAATGACAACACAAATACCAGGCCCAACACTGTGTAAAATACAGCAATTGTAAACATAGTTCTACTATAAATAGAAACAAATACGGCACAAATTGGTATGCTTCAGAAATGTGGACAATTGCAAGGAAATATAACAAATTAGAATTTAGTCATCTTCTTATGTGTGTCTGCTTTCTTTCGTTCGTGCTGAGCACTGGCTTCTTGTGACTTTAAATAGGACAGTTGCTTCTTAGCATTGGATAACTTCTCTTCCAGGTGAGCAGTTAATGCTTTACCTCTGAAATAAATCAAAGAAAGCTGAAACACAGATTCATAGTGGATGCAGTGGAGTCATATAAACCATGCTCCTCTGATAAGTAAATTGTAACCTTTCCCCATTGAGCACTGAATTAAGATATCATTCATATTATACAACTAAGTATTCAGGTGGCACCTGAACAAACACAGTTTAGTGTTTACAACTCTTCAATAGACAAAAAGCGGTACTTCATTTTTTCTTCCCATTTTAAAAGTATTCTGCTAGAGGGATCTAAAAGAACACAGAAAATGGGAATGGAGAGAATGCCAAGCATCAATTCTGGCAATAAAGTAATTGATGTGTAAATGTTGTGTATCTCTGATATTACCAGTGCATAAAAGTTTTACTGTAACTTATTTACTTCTGTTTGTACAGATGCTAGTATAAGGAACCCAGTCTTTACTAGAATAAAAGTGCCCAATCTGCCCAACTTCTGCTAAAATATGACAAGATACCTTCCAACATTTCTTGATAATGCCTCCGTAATTTTAACAATGTCCTTTTCAGTGTGCTCAATATTTTCCATTATCTGAAAAACTTTGATATTTAGAGTTTTCTTCATCGTGGTGCTGCCCTTGTAACACTCTTTACTATTCTTCTCCCCCATGGGTTGAAGTGTTGAACCGCTAGACTGTCCATTAGTTCCAAGTTTATCGTTCAAAAAGTCAAACACAGTCTGGCGAGATTTGTGCACTTTGGCCACTCGCAAGCCTCCTTGGTCTTTCCTTTTGTGCTTCTTTTTATGGAGGTGGTTCAGTTTCCCTTCTCGTTTATTCTGCAGGATTTCAGCACATTGATCGAGAGATTTCCCTGGTGGTAGAACTACTGCTTCTACAGGCTCCACCCGGCCTTCAGCATTCTTCCCCAGCCCTTAAAACAAAGATAACCACATCAGCAGCTCGTTACACTGAATAATTTACAAAATGAATCACTGCAGATCCTTGCAACCTTACCTTTTCCAAACTCGTAGCCCATTTTAGCCATTAGTTTGGAACCCATGCCCCTGGTATGAGTTTCCCAGCCTGCGAAAGTGGAGGTGCAGGGTGGAGTCCATTCTACTTTCTCCATAGAATTGGCATCGAAAACTGTGGTAACAAGGTAAAGAGGGGAAAAAGGGTACAAAATGAGAAAGACTAGTTTCAAAAGTTTCAGTCTTCTGCCCGAGTATTACTGAGACTGCCCTTAACAGGCCAGTGTAACTGAGTACATATAGAACAAGGTTTTCTTGTACAGATTTGCTTTAAGCAGGCGAGTGCATAATTTGTCTGGGTGAAAAACGTGTAATATAGCAATCTGAAAGCATAATGCTATCGTGCACGCTGTAACAATTACCTTTTGCATAACCAAGTTGATCCCCATCATCTTCTGAATCTGAGGAGGAAGAGGACTCCTCACTACGAGGTACTGGCATAATCCCATCACCTTCCACTACTAACTCCTTCTGAAGCAAGGAATCAAATTTTACTGTAAAATAGCCACTGTCCATGTCTGAAAAACACAACACCATCCTTGGAATATTACGCAACATCCATACAATGAAAATTGTATTAACACCACTATGCTATCAATTCAGCATACAATATAACTTGAAACTAAGCTATTCCAGCAGTTTTTTAAAAAAAAATCTGCTTTGTAAATCTAAATTCATTAAAGTATTTGCTTTATTTTATGAGACTTTAAGAGTTTGAAAGACACACGCTGTAAATTGCATCTAACGCAACACAAGCTAAACACAACACAAAATGTTAACATTTCAATTAAAGTCTATGTAATGAAACTGCAATAACTGAAGATCATGCAGGAAAATTCTACAACAGTGCCCGATATTAAGGCAGGGTGCGTGTGCCACTTGGAAATACTCTACCTATGTTTCCAAAACAACTTTTCTCTTTAAAAAATTCATACAACATGAAAGACAGTAGGATATTGGAGACAGCAAAGCATTTATAGGGTTCAAAGAATGCTCGCATTCCACTCATCAGAACTAGTACTAAAGTACTTCAGTACAAAATGACTTTCACAAGATCTGAATTCTTCACGATTACCCATCCCAATTGTTAAAGATACTCGGCGAGGATGTTAGCTGCACTTACCGAGGATTTTAGCCGGGTACCAAATTTCATCTTCATGCTTAGCCAAACAGGCTGACCCCACCTCAAGTGAACTGAGATCCAATTCCTGACCCTCTCGCAATTCAGACACAGCCACAACCTCTCCATGAGAGTACCTAGTCAGACACAAATATTTTAATAGATTATAAACTTTTTTTTAAAAAAAACACCAAAATGTCTTTGGTGTTTTATAATGCATTTTATTAAATGTTTGGTAAACTATGCAATCCACGTGCGCATGCCACCTGTGTCTGGAATGGACTCATCTTGGAGGGATGCACCCCACTCACCTAATTCTGGAGAATATGAGGTACAATTTAGAGAGCCAAGACTTGGGGATCCCTGCGTCACGTGGGTGCTGCTGGAGTTTAAACCAGCTAAAACTGAAGAGGGTAGAAACCAACTGAAAGCGCTGTTTGGCAAGTTCCCTGTGGCTTGTAAGGTTACCAGGAGCTGAGCGAGAAGAATCCCAGTCTGCTCCCTGATGGGACCGCTCGTTAAGCAGTCAATGCAGACCCGCGCCTGGCTCGGGAACCCGACCACAAGAGACCACCAAAGAGGGTCGACTCGATTCTGACGTTTCATGGCCAAGCGAGTCACCTTGGAGCCGGCTCACCTCAGCTCCGCGGAGACCCTCGGCTTACGTCCTCTTCCCCCACCTCCACCCACGAAGAATAAAGGCGTCAAGGAAAAAAAAAAACAAAAAGAAAGGGAGAACCAAACCGAAGAATTAAATCAATGACACGTGAATCATTGTGTGCCCACAGAATACACTTAGCACATAATCATAATTGCGTTTGACATAGCACCTCATCACCTCTTCGCGGACGTCTCAAAGCGCTTCGAGGTAACAGCCCATAAACGTGAGCCCGCGGGCGAAAAACCTTCAGCACGAGCATAGTCTGCGAAGCGCTTTGGGACGCCTCGGGAGACCCCCGACGAGGCGTTACCTCAAAGGCAAGTCACTCATTCGGGCTGCAATGCAAACCGCCCCCTGACCTGCAGCTCTCGGGGAAGCGGCAGGTGCCGCTCAGGTACCACGGGCACGGCCTCATGGAGCGGTGAGTCGGGTGGATCCACAGGACCCGGACGGTGGGCTCGGGCGGCTCCGAGCTCTCGGGGCCCACGATCATGGCGTCGTGATACTGGAGCTGACCCCAGGGAGTGCGGTACGGGGCGCTCACTCTGCTGCCGCTCAGCTCCTCGTCACCCCTCTCATCCGCCTCTTCTCCATCTTCATCATCATCATCATCATCAGCGGCGTTATCATCTCCTCCTCCTCCTCCTCCTCTCTCCCTCGGGTACTCCTCACCGCCCGGTTCGCTCATCGCCGCCTGGAAGGCCGTGTACTCGGCGTCTAAGCGCGCCTCCCGAGCGGGGCCCGGCTCGGCCTCGGCCTCGGGCTCGGGCCCGGCGGTGGCCGCTCGGTCCAGCCGCTCCAGCAGCTGGCTCTTGCGGACCGACAGGAGGCTGGACTCGGTCAGGTGGATCAGCTGCCGCAGGTCGTCGCGAAGCCTCAGCAGGTCGGCCTGGCCTTCGGTCCCGGCCGCGGCCTCGGCCTCGGGTTGAGAGTCGGCCGCCAGGGCGCTCTCGACCTGCCGCACCTGGGCCTTGTACAGCTCGATGGCCGCCTCCAGACTCGCCTCGTCCATATCCATGGCCTCGGCTCGAGGGTTCGGGTCGTCACCGTTACCGGCGTCTCAGAGGCCGCCTCCCGCCGCCATCGCAGACCGTAAACGAACCGCCTCAGGCGGAGGAGGAGGAGACGGACACCCTCATCGCTCCCTTCCCCCCTCGCCCCGGGTCCGCGCGCGATTCCCTCTCGGCTCCACTTCCACCTTCGCTCGGTTTAAATCAAGCGGAAAAACCGCCGGAAGCGTCACCCTCGCGGCGCCGGGCCGAGCGTCGAGGAACCTGCGGGGAGGGCGGGAAAGGAAACGTCGGCGCGGTGCAACATGGGAGTTGTAGTTGCCCCCTCTCACCCCGCTCGCTGCCTGCCCTCGACGGCGGCAGAAAATAGGAACTACAACTCCCAGAAGACGTCTGGCTAGACCTGCGCACTGGGCACCGGTCGCGAGTCTCAAAACAGAACGGGGCGGTGCAGGGAGAGAGCGAGCGAGAGGATGTCGGCGCGGTGCGGCCTGGGAGTTGTAGTCGCCTCCTCTCCGCTGCCTGGCGTTGGCGGCGGCGGGGCGGGAGGGGAGTTGAACTACAACTCCCAGAAGGCGTCCCGTGAGACATGCGCACTGGGCTGATGCGAGGTGACGAGGACGACGACGACGACGGAGGAGGAGGAGGAGGAGGGGGGTGGAGGCGACAGGAGGGAGTATTAGAGGCGGCTTTAAATGGAGGGGGGCGCGTAAAGGTAGGAGCTCGTTCTCTGGCTGTGGGCCGCTGGTGTACGGGCTTCTCGAACCTTCCCCCCCCCCACCATCCCGGTCCCGGTGGGAGAAGAAGGAGAGGGGAGGGTTTTTTTTAAAAAAAACAAAAATGGGGGCAGGGCTCGATGGCACAATTCGGGGCCTGTTGGCTTTTGATGGCTGACAAACCGCCTCCTCACAGGCTCTCCCCCTCCCACACACACCCCCCATCCGAGCAGTTGGTGACAGGACTCGCGAACAGGTCCTGGCTGCTCGACACTCGGGGTCTGACACGTCACTGACTTAATAATAATAATAATAATAATAATAACGATAATGATGATAATGTTCCTGGTGTTTGACGCGGCGTCTTCATCGCGTCTTCGAGACCCCTCTCAAAGCGCTTCGCGGGATACGCTGCCGAGCGCGTCGACTGCGCATTTCGTGGGTGGGTGGGTGGGGGGGTGCGCGGCAGCCCCGACGGCGCACGGCGGAGACCACCCTCCCCCCCCCCCCGCACGCATGGCACGTGCACACGCACACCCACCCCCCCCCCCCCCAGGTCTCTCGCTCGCAAAGCGAGTGCTCCGGCCGCTGAGCTCCAGGACGGTTGCGCCTCGAGTTAACACCCGCCCGCGCACAGGGTTCTGGCGCGTCCGCCGCACGTCACAGGTTCGACGCGGGTTCGTCATCGTCGTAACCGTCATCCTGATAATAATTACAACGATAATCCTTGCGTTTCGCTTCCCCCCCGCCCCCACCCCACCCCCCCCGCCTCCCAAAAAGAAACGCACTCCCGATTCACTTCTCGGTATATCCTGCGAAGCGCTTTGAGATGTCCCGAAGGCGTGATAAGGCGCCATCTCAAATGCAAGGATTGTCGTTCGGTTTTACTGTCTGTCGCGTCAGAAAGACGTCTCAAAGCGCTTCTCAGGGATTGCTGCCAAACGGAGTGACAGCGTGTATTGGTCCGCAAACGTCAATCCAAGCTGTGGGCTATCGCTTGCCCCTAATGCGCTGATTTGGTTAAATCCGCCAAACCTGCAAACAACAACAACTTGCATTTCCAAAAGTGCCCTTTGTGAAGTGGGTGTAAAAGAAGAGGAGAACCACTATAAAATCTTTAAATTTTAGTTGTGTACTTTTAGAAACACGAGTGACTTTGCATACTTGTATAATTTCTCAATGGTCCTGCAGAATGAGAAAAATGTTTTGCTTAGTGCTGGTGGGGGGGAGGGGGGGGTCTTTATTACAGTCACAGGATGAAGAGGGCTGAGGAGTTTCCAGGCCACTTCAACACTTGCTCTGCTTCAGTTCGGTGCTCATCCCTGTCTTGCTCTAACCCAATGGTGACAATCTTTTAGACTGGCCAACCAAATAAATGCTTCTTTATTGAATTTTTCTTCACATATGTGGCAGTACCACAGATATTGCGGCTTCGTAGGGTCTGGAAACGCGGGATTGGCCGGCGGCTACTTTCAATCAATTTATTTGGTTTGCCAATCAAAAAGCTTAGCCAACTCTACCTCTCCGCCATCAACTCCAGGGCCACTGCTGTCCTGACAGAATGTCTGTGAGACATCAAGTCCTGGGTGAGAGCCAACTTTCTTCAGTTGAATGTCAACAAGTCCGAGGTCTTCCTGATTGGTTCCTGTCAGCGCCTCCACACTTCAGGCACTGACAGCATCACCATCCATGGATGATGGGGGGGCCTTCAGCCGTTCTGTCCCCACGCTCTGGAACTCCATCCCACAGTCACTCCACCTTGCCCCCTCCCTTGCCACCTTCATTAATTTTGTTGTTGGCTTGCTTTTTTAACAGCAGATTCCTTTCTTTTGTAGGATGTATACATTACTCTCAGGTCTGTGGAAGTACATGTTCCAAAAGGATGAATACTGCATTCTGATCTTGGGGTTGGACAATGCAGGCAAAACTGTAAGCTGATATTTAGGCTATTTGCTGTAATTATTTGTTAATGAGGAAATTGAAGCCATAATACAGGAAATGAATATTTGTATGTTTCATTGTGATTTTTTTTTCGTGTTACTTTAGACCTTTCTGGAGCAGACAAAAACAAGGTTTAACAGAAACTACAAAGGAATGAGTTTATCAAAGATAACCACTACAGTTGGTTTAAACAGTAAGTTTGTTGGGCAATATATGTATATTTCATATTTTACATGTAATGTTCTGATGTCCTAGAGTCATAGTTGTTTCAATTTGCAAACCTCTTTTGATTGAGGAAAGTAGTCAACTACATTTGTGTATCTATTCTTTTACATTTGTTTGTTGTCTGTACACTTTTAGAGCATGTTTTGTTCCTTTTTCTAGTTGGAACTATTGATGTTGCTTCAGCACGACTTATGTTCTGGGATCTCGGTGGCCAGGAGGAACTCCAGTCTCTGTGGGACAAGGTACCATTCCAGTTCATTTCTGCTTTTAATGTAAACTTGATTTGCCAAAAAGATATTCTGCTTGTATTAAGAATGACAACTGCGCATATTGGTGGAACATTGGGCTATCACATTGGATTCAGGCAAATCTATGATTTGGGTTTGAATACAGCCTGGAATGATGAAAGTATAAGCATTTTCTTAAATAAATGCATAAAAGTGTGGCCGCACACTCATATTAGGCGTTATTTCTGCTAATGTCCTTCAGCTTTTGGATTTTTTTATGTCGCCTTTTTACAATACATTTCTCACCACATGATGGCAGTGTGGCTTACAGGGATAACAAATCTTCATCCTTAACACAGCTAAGAACATTTAAATGTTTCCCAGTTTTCTATAAACAACAGAACAATTTTAGACTGATTCATATTGTAATGATTCTCGATTATTTTAAAATGTGCGCAGATCTATATAATATTTAACTGCAGTAGTTTCTAAAGATTATGTGCTATAATCATCTTTTAAATATCTACAAATTCTGAATTTCTTTGTTTCAGTATTATGCAGAATCACATGGTGTAATATATGTCATTGACTCAACCGATGAAGAGAGATTGTCAGAATCAAAAATAGCCTTTGGTATGTGAAATACTGATATTAAAATACGATCTAAATGTTTTATGCTATGTTGATTAATGTTTTTTCACAAGCAATGGTGGAGAGTAAAATCTGTTTAATAATTGCGTTATAATGCCTGAAGACAGTATGCGGTTGTCATGAATTGCTGAATTCTGCTGCAGGTTTGTGTTACTTCACAAAATCTATCTATCGTTGTTTTCTAATGGCTCCAGGAATAACTTAACTAATCGTTTGAATAATTTCCCCCCCCCTTTCAGAAAAAATGATCACCAGCGAAGTGCTTGATGGGGTTCCATTGTTAGTATTGGCTAACAAACAGGATGTTGAGGTAAGTCCTCTTCGGTAATATAATTTAGCAGTTACATTTGTTCTGTCTAGCCAACTGTATGTTCAAATAACTCCTTTTTTAATTATTATTAAAGTGCTCCAAGATGCTGTCCGGTGTGAAGGGCACTATATTAAATGCAAGTTGTTGCTGTTTCTGCATGTATACAGCAGAGCCTCATTATAACATTGTATTTGGGATCATAAAATCCCAACCATCACTGCAGCTGGTTTCACTGTGTATGCGCACAGTTGATCTATTCAGTCCTGCCTGCCGACTCTGTCAGCCTTTTATCCAGTGCAGTAATGCAGAGAGATCTGTTTCTGACTGCACACCAAGGTTAACTTATAGTAATATTGCTGTCTGCATTTCAGATTAAAATTGGTTCAGTATTTCCATTAAGACAACAGATATTTTAGTCATTCTATTCCTTTTTTTTCAAGCATCCGGATGATGAATGATGGAAACTATTTCTGAAGATTTAATTTGCTCTTTTGTTGCTCCCCTTTCATGTTTTTCTCTATGATAGAGCTGCCTTTCTGTTGGAGACATTAAAACTGCTTTTAGTGATTGTGCCCCAAAAATTGGGAAGAGAGATTGTTTAGTACAACCATGCTCAGCACTTACTGGGTAAGTATTGGTTACGTTGTCCACTTATACTATATTACTGCCAGAATTGGGCAAGAGGAAGAGAGGGAGCATATAATTATAATAATAATCCTTGCATTTGATATAGCGCCTTATTACGTCTTCGAGACATCTCAAAGAGCTTCACAGAATATACTGTAAAGTGAATTGACATGGAGTCTGGCGAGGATGGGGTGATAGGGACACAGAGCCTGGTGCAGGAGAGGACATGGTTGCAGAATTCTGGATGATCTGCAGCCTATAGAGGGAGGAGTTGGGGAGGCCGACAAGAAAGGAGTTTGCATTGTCCAGCCTCAATGTTATGAATGCGTGTATGAGGGTTTCGGTGGCCTGTGGTGTGAGACTGGTGGAGCTGGCAATGTTGCGGAGGTGGGGGAAGGCAGAGCGGATCATGGCACGGATGTGGGGTAGAGAGGACAATTGAGGGTTAAACACAACCCCAAGGTTCTGGACTGGCTTAGTATGGTGGAGTGTGCCACCATGGATGGTGATTCTGTCAGCGCCTGTGGTGTGAAGGCTCTGACAGGAGCCAATCAGGAAAGTCTCGGTCTTGTTGACATTCAACTGAAGAAAGTTAGCTCTCATCCAGGACTTGATGTCTGACAGACAGTCTCTCGGGACAGCAGTGGCCCTGGAGTTAAGGTTGGAGGCAGAGAGGTAGAGTCGGGTGTCATCCGCATACATGTGGAAGTTGACCCCATGTCTGCGGATGATGTCACCAAAAGGGAGCATATAGATGTTGAAGAGGAGGGGACCAAGGACAGAGCCCTAGGGGACACTGCACGAGACGGTGCGGGGGCTAGAGGAGAAACCATTTGTGGAGATGAAGTGAAGGCGGTGTGAGAGGTATGATCCATTCAAGGACAAGACTGTGAAGTTTGAGTGAGAAGAGAGGCGGTGGATGAGGATAGAATGATCAATGGTGTCAAAGGCAGCAAAGAGGTCAAGCAGGTCGAAAAAGCAGAGGGCGCTCTGGTCACAGATGGACAGAATGTCATTTGTCACTTTGACCATAGCTGTTTCTGTGCTGTGGGCGTCACAGAAACCCGATTGGAGGGGTCCGTGAAGGGAGTGGCGGAAGAGGAAGGAGTGAAGGTGGGAAGCAACAACTCATTCCAGGACCTTGGAGAGGAAAGGGAGGTTAGAGATGGGGTGGTAGTTTGAGAGCAGGAATGGGTCCAGGGAGGGTTTTTTTAAGGATAGGAGTGATGACAGCCATTTTTACAGGGGTGGGAAAGGTACCAGTGAACAAGGAGAGGTTTATGATGTCTGTAAGTAGAGGGGCAAAGAGGTAGAACTGGGAGGTAAGGAGAGGGTTGGGGATGGGGTTGAGGGAGCAGGTGGTCGGTTTCATGCCGGTTGTAGTGGTGATGAGAGGAGTGCGAGACAGATTCGAAGGCAACCAAGGCAACCAAACAGAAAAGCACATTACAGGTTTAACTGGGTAACATTAGCAAGGAGGAACTGAAGGATAATTCCTTCTCTTTGGACTTGACTAGTATGTTTGGTGCATTGTTAGCATTGCGTGCAGTGTTGCCCAATGATATTACTTGTCTTTCATCATGACCTTATCTCTATGTGTGCTCCTCCTTGCTTGCTATTGTACTGAAGGTCACTTATGTAACTTGCCATTGCACTGACACCAGCTTCCTACATCTACATTGTTTGCAGTGATGCAAACCTGACCTAAATTTACTTAAATATTTCTGTTAATGTATTCACATCATTTTCCTTGATAGTTTAGGGTAGGGTGGCCCACCTGGTGGCCCATGGGCCTCATCTGGCCCGGGGGATTATTTCATCTGACTCAAACCATTTCCAACTTCGGAGCGCACTCTCCTCTCCCTGGCGAACCATCCACTCATTACAGCAGCTCAATGCATGCGGAGTTGCTGCAGTGTATCAGGAAGTCCCTCATCACCATTTTGTCCCCACTCTCTGGAACTTTATTCCCAGAGTCCCCTTCGACTACCTTTCTCCCTTCCTCCCCTCCTTCAAGGCACGTCAAGACCCAAATCTTTGACTGTGCTTTCGGTCATCTTTTCCCCAATCTCTCTCCCTTCTCACCCCTAGCTTGGATGCGCGCAGCGATCGGTGACGAGGGATTTGAGACATCCTTCCGACGTGAAAAAGTTGCTGTGTAAATGTTGTTATGTTTCTGGAAGGGAAAGCCAAAAATATTGCCTGAATGGCCTGCGGATATTCTTCAAACTTGAATTCCAGTAAGCTATTGCTAACTATTCTACATTTCCTTTTTAAAATTATCCCGGATTGTTTAGGGACAAAAATATTTCTTTCTTTTATTGTAGGGAAGGTGTAAATGATGGGATCGAATGGATGGTCAAGTGTGTAATCAGAAACATTCACAGGCCACCAAGACAGAAGGATATCACATAGAAGTCACCTGTTTTGTCAGAGTTGCTGCACAGTAGTTCCACTAGCTGGAAGCAATCCGTATTGAAGCTTACACTCTTATGTGGAGCTTTCTTACCTTTGCTGACTATTGCTGATAAAAGTTGAAGATGTTACATCTATGACTATGTAAGTAAGTGCTGTTTCAAGACAGTCAATATGAGAGGGACCTTTTTCAACACTAGCAGTGTGGGTTGACTGGATAAAGATTCATTAATATTAAATATCTGAGCAACAATAATACGTTCTTGTTAGCCTTTTTTTAAATGCAGAGATTTTTTGTGTACTAATATTCCTTTATTTCAGAAATAGTTGTCTAAAAATATGGGATTTGAAACTCACTGTCTCCTTGTTTTGCACAGAAGTTCTGTTAATAACTTTTGTCTTTTAGATTGAACAAAGTTGTGATGATCTCGGTTGTAATGCATTTTGTGGAAGACAAAATAAAGTTTTTTTTAAAAAAAATCCCTAAAGCACTGATCCCCTCCAAATTAATTTCTAGCAATCACACAAGCTTTTATCATGTAGTCATTTAACATTTATTATACACAGAAGTGAACTTCCTATCAGTGATCAAGGCCGGAACCAGTCAAGCGGAGGTAGTGGGATGGTAATAATAATAATAATAATAATAATATAATCCTTGCATTTGATATTGCGCTTTTCATGTCTTCTCAACGTAGGCAGTTGCCGGAGCATAAAGGCATTTGAAGACGCATGAGAAGATCTTGAAGTTGATCCGTTCAGTGATTAGGTGCTAATGAAGCCTGGTTAGAGCTGGTGTGATTGGAGTACGGAGTGGGTGATTATGTGGGCAGCGGACTTAGGTAGATTTTAAGGCACAACTTAAAGACAGAAGAAAAGGGCATTGTTTATTTGAATAGGATAATTCTGAAAAAAGGACAAAACTATTCTTAGCATAATCATGAGTTCAAATCTTGCTTCCTTGTGAGCTCAGTGAAAGGTGTGGCTTTAAACCAAGCACATTTGTTTTATAACATGCGCAACGTTTCCGAAAAGATTGTATTTCAATCTTCTAAATTGTCAAAGTACACATTTATTTTGACTCAACGTTATCAAGTTTCCACATTTGATATTAAAGGATTAAAAAGAATGGACGGCATAGAAACAAGTCACTCAGGCCAACCAGTCTGGGCCGGTATTTATACTCACACCCACTCCTTATTCCCTCTCGTACGCTTGAATTCCCCTCCCTCATGTGAACATCAAGCTTCCTGTTGAATGATCTATACTATCACTCCCATCCTTGCCCAACTCCACTGACTTGACATCCCTCCTTAAAAGTCTCTTCTCTAGGGGAAAAAAAAGCCTATCCTATCCAGTCTCTCCTGATAGCAGTAACTCTTTGCCTTCCTAATCGTCTTTTTAACCTTTTTCCTAAGTTTGCTGTACTCACCCGTTTTCTTCTCTGTTATCTATTCTGGAAATTTCAAATGCTTTTTTCCTTGGCTATAGTTTTGTCTTAGTTTCCTTATTCATCTACGTCATCCCTTTATTACTTAAGTTTCCATTATTTCTTAATTGAATATGTTCCCCCCTCATGTTTTCTACCTTCTTAAAGAATCTTCCATTGTTGCTCAATGTTTTTGTTTTTGCAATTTTTTCCTTCCAGTCTACCTCATTGAGTTCATTCTTCCTACCATTATAGTTAACTATTTTACAATAAAGGTCCTTGTCTTGTCTTTCTCCTTTTCTAAAACCATTTTGAACTTTATGATACTCATGTCATCACTCGTGAGCGGCTCCCCTTTTTGCAATGCTTTCAGAAATTTCAAAAGGTCAAGTGCAATCTTATATAATGTTTTAATTATGTTCCTCTTAGAATGAATCAGTCAGCAAAAAATTAACTGTGTGACTGTAATTAATATTTAGTAGGCTAAAGGATAGGCTGGGAAAAACCCTCTAGGTAATATGAACTTCTATCGAAATGTCAAACTAAGTAATGCTAGTTGTAACACATGGAAATAACAAACTATTGAATATAATCCTGAATCATAAATGCTGTAAGTGTCATTCCCCTTTACTATTTCCTGATTCGTTGTACCCTCCGGTGGTTTATTTCTTTGCATACAAATGCAGTCATTCACTCCGCCTCAAAATAAACACTGTGATGTTTTTGGGAAAACTATTTGGGAAATTACAATAACATAACACATCCTGTGCCTTCAGTGCCAACAGATTTACTCGAGGACTTCAGTGTCTACTGAGGGTTTACTCCTCAGAGCCTGGGAATGCTATTTAAAATCCTAGTTTAAATTCAGTAATGCATTTAAAGGCTCACAATTCATTGAAACTTAAAAGTAAATGAATGAATAGCAGTGTAATTCAATACATCTTAATAAGTCCCACAAAACAGCCATGAAGTGAATGGATGATTTTATTTGACCAGGACACCAGGAGAAACTCCCTTCTCTTTTCAAATAGTGCCATTGGATCTTTAACATCTACTCGAGCAGGGCAAATGATGTAAAGTTTAATTCAAAGGACAATTCCTATGGCGTAAGGAAAGAGGTAATACAAAATCCTAACTGAAAAGACACGAGAAATAGCTAGTTGCCACAAGTCTGCTTGTTGGTGTGAGAAAACCGACTTTCAGGAAATGAGTTAGTTTATCTCACAGAGACGATTTCCCTTTGTTCACTTCCCAAACCTTAAAAAGCTCTGATGTATCTCACTAGGACTGTTTCCTTGGTGCACCTTGCGCCTATAAATGAGATGCACAATATTGAGGCATAGATGGCGTTAAGGAATGTGGGCTGAACCCAGGGAACATTCTGGGAGTTGTCACATTTGGGGAGAAACAGGCTGACTACGTACATATGGACTGCAAACACGAGAGAGAGAGAGAGAGAGTGAGTCCAGACGAAAGAAATTGAGGAGCAAGACACTACCTGAGCTCTCCCATGGGAAAGGGTAACTGATCACTACTGCTTCTCCTGTGTTAGTCGCAACTATCTAGAAATTCAGAGACTGTGTAGTATGTGTATAACCATTGACTTGAGAACTTGTGTAAGAAAGGAAACCTATTTGGATTTGAGACTGTTGTTGACAATCAAATTCTTTACAAGATATTGTCGAGTAAATTTGCTCATTACAGATCCCTACAATGGCACTGAAATAGAGTTGCTTACCTCATCCTAGACTCACATGGGACTCAAAGGTAAGAGTGCTAACCAATTGAGCTAGGTTAAGACATAAACCAGTGACACACCAAAACGAATAAGGGACATCACAAGCTCTGTGTTAATGTTCCTTACGATTAACTTTGCTTACGGCTTACTTGGCAAGTTGCGTCAATCTGGCTCTGTTGGTAGCAGTCTTGCTTCTGCGTCAGAAGGTTGTTGGTTCAAGCCCCACGTTGGGAGCTCACAGATAAGGCTGACACTCCAAAGCAATGCTGAGGAAGCATTGTCATAAGTGATGAGACTTTGAATCGAGGTCCCAACTGTCGATTTAGGTGGACAGTAAAGATGTTGTGGCACTGTTTGAAAAGAGAAGGCAATTTCTCCCGGTGTCCTTGAGACAATAATAATAATTTTACGTGCATTTGGTAACACATGTCGGGAAGATGTTGGGCTTGAAGTCACAACCTTCTGGCTCAGAAGTAAGAGCACGACTAACGGAACCAGATTGCCACAATATTGACCCAATTTCCCCCATCCACATAAAAATCTTCAATTTCAAAACTATTTGTGACACCGTATCTGTACAATTTGACTGCTATGCTGGCTGACATAGGCAAGTCACTACACTTTACAGAGAAACTCTACTCTTGAGATGTTTCAGCATGATACGTTGTGATATCAAATGAAATTATTATGTTCATTAGCTGGGGTGAAACTAAGCCGTAAGCATTATCAATTGTAGTAATAAGGCACTGGAAAATGTTCAGAGGCGTACATCAAACCTTTTGGTACAAGTTGAACTTTGTGTTTCATTTGACTCAGTTCCAGCATTCTTAAAAACGAACACGAATAAGTGTGCTTTTATCTTGTTTTGCAATCAGAATGAGAATCGGTAGGGTAACTTGACATTTTTGAAATCAAACCCTGATCTTATGTTATCTAGTCATCTGGAGTCAGCAGTTTTCTCAAGATGAAATTTCTGAACATTATATTTCCATCTCGTGATATTTTCACTTTGTTTTGGTTTTCCCTGCATGAAATGATCTTTTCAATTCGGTGAAGATAAATGTTGAATAGGAAACGACAAGCTCCTTGATTTTGTGTATGATCGAATTGGTGTGAATAGGCATGTTTTGATATAGTTAAGTTTCATTCAAGATCAGATCGAAATGAAATTTCCATAGGCACAAAAATCACGTAAATTAAATTAAGCCATTGAAAAAAGCAGTCATGCGGAGACTGCCTCCCAATAGCAGATGATAAATTCATGACCCCAGTAAGTGGAGGAGGGATTTGCCAGACTATAATTAGATTCCTGTTTTGTGTTGTGAACATTGTGTAAGAGTGTGATCCTGTGATACTTACTAACTTTTTGAATGTGAAATACAGTACCTGTAGCTCAGTGGTTAGAGCACTCGCTTTGCAAGTGAGAGACCTGAGTTCAATTCCAGGCAGAGGGCGAAACCTTGGGCAAGTTTCCTTACTCCACACAGAGCCTAATAATAATCCCTCCAAAACCAAAAACAATAATAAATTGGTCATTTTCAATCTACGACTGTTTGTGGGACATTGCTGTGCGCAATTGGCTGCCGCGTTCGCCCACAAATATACAGTCAATTCACTTTACAGTGTGTTCTGTGAAGCGCTTTGGGACGTCCTCCCGACGTGAAAAACGCTATATCAAATGCAAGGATTATTATTATTATTATTATTACCTTAAATTGAAATACATGTGGTTTATTTCACGGCATGAGTTACTTGTCTTTAATAACTTAACAATACTTTTTTTATTGCACAAACAAAAATCTCTTAAAATAACACAAAGGGCCTTCGGATTACCTCGTCTCTAGCTGCTCTTCGAAATTTTTACGTTGATTACAGTAACTCAAAACCCACCTGTGAAACCTGTGGGTGCATTTTCTTCTCAGCTGCATCTTGCTTCGGAGGTAAGGCACTGTAATCCCACATCAGTCACAGGGCAATTTTTCCAGTACTTCTTAAAAACATGAGACATAAAGATGTATATAAAGTGGGACACTGCTCTGTGCATTGGCTTCCGTGTTTCGCCCCAAAATATAGTTTTTACAATATATAAAGTCTTTGCAATTGATGTAGCGCCTTATCACGTCTTTGAGACGTCTCAAAGCGCTTCACAGAACATACTGTAAAGTGAATTGACTACATTGTGTGGACGAGACTGAGCAGCCAATGCGCACAGCATTCATATTTATAAATATCTTTAAGTCTCATGTTTTTTGGAAGTACTGGAAAAATTGTCTTGTGACTGATGTGGTATTACAGTTCTTCACCTCCAAAACAAGATTCAGCTGAGAATAATATACCCGCAGGTTTTACAGGTGGGTTTTGAGTTCAGCAATCAACGTCATTAAAATACTATGTGCAGCTATAGACGATAGGTGAAAAACAGAGACCTGGAGCATGATTAATGACTGTTGGAGTATGACTAAAGGGTTTTGCTTCCTGTGGAACTTGACACAACACGTGTTGCCTACTCTTCTACTTTCTGCAGTTTCTCTTAACGATTGCGTCTAGTGCAAACTTTCTATTTTTAAATTTGCTTAGTCGTGTTTAATAGATAAAATTTTAAAAAATCTTTTTTCTGGTGTTTCGGAACTTCACTTGTTTAAAAACATTGCCGGTTTTCTCAGAAAAAGTAGCCAAGTATAATGATGTTTTAAGTTACCTGAGGTGGGAAATGTTTAGTCCAAACATTTTTTCTCAGATAGGAGGAAACCTATATATTAACTAGAAATTCATTTAGCATCAGTTAAAGATCAGCAAATTTGGACTTTGAGGAACCCGGTCGCCCTTTACTCAGGTTGCATCAGCCTGATTCATGTTTCCTGTCCAATCTGTCCCACTATAAATGGAGGGGTGGTGGTTTTCAGCCATTGTGTCCCTGCTCTTTGAAACTCCATCCCGGAGTCCCTCCAACTTGCTCTTTCCATCAACAGTGGGGCAGATTGCGCACAGGGCATGAAGCAGGCTGATGTATGCTGAGCGAAGGGAGCAACCGGGTCCCTCAGAGTCCAAATTTGCTGATCTTTAACTGATGATCAATGAATTCAAGATCCATTTCAAGACGTAGCTCTTTGACCACGTTTCAATCATCAGCTCCCCAACTCCTTGGCTCTCATGCCCAGCTCAGATGCCCATCCAGTAAAGTGAGTCACTTCAAAACATCATCGAGATGCAAAACACGCTACAAAAATGTAAATTGTATCAGCCCAAGCTTTGTTCTTTGAGTTCTTGGAATCTCTTGCAGACTAGTATTAATGGGTTCAAACAGTTCTGTTTTTTGCAGGGATCATCCAAGTTTCTGATTCCTGTGAAAACTCATTACTATGCTTGAAAGAATCCAAATTACAGAGATCCATACATGTATGACACTACCATTTTGCCTGGAGTGGATGTACACTCCCTCCATGGAGCTCTGTGCCCAGTTTACTTCATTCTTAGAGGCCGGAGATGACTCACATTAGTCTTAAGTGAGTTTCTCTTAAATCAATGTTTGGTTTCTGTTTTTTTCTTGGTTATTTCTTGATTTATGGCATTATAATATAATAATAATCCCTGCATTTGATATAGAGCCTTATCACGTCTTTGAGACGTCTCAAAGCATATAGTGTAAAGTAAATTGACTGTATATTTTGTGGACGAAACGGGGCAGCCAATTGCGTACAGCAGTGTCCCACAAACAGTCATGGATTGAGTGACCAAATTATTATTCTTTATTTAATTTTTTTTGAAGAGATTATTACCCCCGGAAAAGAGATCCGACAATCGACTAATAACCAGGTTCCTACTTAATGCTAGGTAAACAGAGGCATGTGGAGTAAAGAAACTTGCTCAACCTTTCACCCTGTCGGGAATCAAACCCAGCTCCTCTCGCCCCGAACAGTGACAGTAAATATCCAACATTCATTCATCAGTATCCAACGTTCATCATTGACCTCTTGTCGGACTGGTTTTAATATATAGTAGACATCAACTGTAACTTTTTTTCTAGCTGCCAGACAATTTTATTTTGTAAAAAAAATATAAAATACATCTCTAATCGTACATTGTAACATTCAACATTGTTTGTTTCAATAGTGAAAAAATACACATCATATTCAATAAGAATTCAATATTCAACACAGTAACACTGAGAAGCTGGTCCCGATTCTTTTATTGTAAATACTGTTCTGTATTTTCAATAAAAGTATTTTGATGTCTTGCTTACTAATTTCTCTGCAATGAGTGAGAATTTTAAGCTTCTAGTTTTGAAAGGAAAATTAGATCCAGGGTACCAGAGGAAAAACACATGTTTTTAGAAATACTGCATATTTGTAACAAATGGTCAGCTGAGAACCAAGAAGGAACCCTGACATTGAGTAACAGAGAGTTGGACAGACCGTAGCAAAGATCAGAGAATGTCAATAAAGAGGAGCTGGACATTAAAGGAAGATAAAGCATAATGGCAGTGCACATTGTTATTTACTGAAATAGGTCAGTTCTGACAGCTATGGGTAGGGATTCAGTGGAAATAGCATACGAGAAATGTTTAACTCGTGATGTGGAATGCCCTGCCAAGGCAGGCAGTGAAATGCAATAAAGTTTTGGCTCTGAGAGCCAATGAAGACTTGATTGGCCTCTTTCTGCTCTGTAAATTTCTATGATTCTATAAATGAGACATGTTTTCTTGACCTTACCCCTGCGATTAATTTGAGAGGTTAATTACTTCTTTACATAAAACGTTCCCTTACTTTCATTTCAATTGACTTTAACTTTGCTTTTTTAAGTATATCTGTCATGTTTTCCAATACATTTTCTTTGATCCCTTCCTTCCACTTTAACAAAAGAGAATGAAGGATTTCATAAATTTCCGGCTTGCCGTGGCCTTGGAGTTCTTTTCTGAATTGCCTTGTGTTTTGGATTCGAAGTAAGAATATGAATCGCTTGAGTTTCCTTTGTGGGATTTTCTGGTATGCCACAAACTCTATCATTGCTTCGTCACAGATGGAAACAGCTGTCAGAAGAAAAGAAATCATAATCCATTAGATTTCGATAAGTAATAATAAACCTTGCATTTGATATAGCGCCTTATCACATCTCAAAGGGCTTCACAGGTTATACTGTAAAGTGAATTGACTGTATATTTTGTGAGCAAAATAAGTAAGCTTTCTGCTCAAATTCACAAACGTAGATTTGATTGAGCTATTTCCCAATGCCACAATGAACTAAAATTGCCTTTGTATCTATCTTAAGTGTCCTTTTGCTTTCACTGGCTGCCTATATTTGCTGCACCACTCACAAACCACTGTCCTCTGCACAAGGGCAGAAAGGTTCCAACCTCACCCTGTAGATTGAGACACAACTAAACTTCACATTGTATTTGGGAAAAAAAAACGACAATGGTTTAATTATATGTTTAATACATGTTGCAAGCTACGTGGGCTGGGGATGTACTGTACTCTGCTATTGCAATATTTCAATCAATTTAAATTCACCGACCTGAAGTATTTGCAAAAATGTTATTATCCTCGTGCTTCTTGCATGGTGTACACAGAGTGTCATGATGTCGATCACCTGGGACATTGACCTCCAAATCTTGCGCAGTGCAGTTCCTGTGAGCAATGCAAGTCTCTGTACTGGAGCTCGTGGAAGAAAAGGAAGTCTTGCTACACTTTTCACATTTTGTGTCAGCGTACGCAGTTCCTAGAAAAACAAAGTGCACAAATATTGTTGGTTGCGAAGACTTTAACTTACACTAATAAAATAATTCGAAATGAAATCAAACCGCTGATTTTACTTTGCTGTTGCCAATTGATTTTCTTGTGTGATTCGTGTCAACAATTTATTATATTCGAGTCAAATGGCCAGACATTCTAATTTTAACGAGTATTCATTCACAGGAAATCCTTTACACAAATTTTACCCACAGTTCAAAAAGTCAGATCCTTCAGATATTTTGGCTGTCTTCTCAAGAGGCCCATCTCCCTGTTTGACCAATTGATATTGGTTAAATATTATTAAATATTAAAAATTGACCAATTGATATTGGTTAAATATTATTAAATATTAAATATGATTAAATATCCACTAATAGGTAAAAATGGTTTGGGCTCAGACATAAACCACTTGTTACTTGAGCCCACTTTAGCTTCCAGACCCATTTAACATGCAAAAGGTAGACAGAGGCAGTAGTTTTTAAACCACTCTGAAATTTCTCAGTAACTAGGCATTTGCGTTACCACAAGTTCTGTTGGAGACACTTCCCCTATTCTATTTTCAACCAGTTCATAACAATAGTTTGTGTATGGTATCACTGTTACAAAATGCGACTGATTATGAATTTAAAAAAAACTTCCAATAACATCATGGTGAATCAGTATTTTCCCAATCCGTGTCCTCCTTTACTATTGATTTACTCAGCAATTTTGTTTCCTTGTGCATCTCACTGAATTAACCCAAAGTACTTGCTGGTCATTCTTCTGGGGGAAAGACAGCAAATTATTCCAAGAAATGGCCTGGTTCCTTGCAGTTGATTTACAGAGGAGACTATTAAACATTAGTACTACTCTTGCTCATGGTGGATGTATATTATGATTTTTTTGAATTTCAGGAATAACAAGGATTAGTTTGGCAGCTGGTTAGACATCTCTTTGACAATTCTTTTATTGATGTACTTCCCAACACCCTAAACCCTACATATTTTCTAGAACTGCTTCGCAGAGAGAAATGTTTTGTGGAAGTACATTGCATGAAACTAAAAATGAAGGTTATTCAATGCTATTTATAAAAGTGGAAAGATTAAACCTACCCAACTCGGCCACGCCATAACTCGGAGGGCAACTGGAGTGTTTCAGGCAGAACTGAAAGTCCAAATAATAACCAGCTTTACATTCACACACACGGTTGTGTGTAGCATTACACTGGTGTTTTTCATACTGATGTTCTGCACAGAAGACATTACAGTAGCGACATTTCATGAGATAGTTCCAGTATTGTGTGTAATGTAGTTGCGGGCAGCCTTCGCATACTGTCCGCTGGACACTTGTGCAGTGGGTTTTCACAAATGTCCCTGGTGGACACTGCTCACATGTCACCATTTGACCAGTTGCTGCGTCTCTCCTTTGATACGTAAGGTTGGCAGTGCACAATCTTGAAATAACTGCGACCAGTGCAATATTGATGACGTACTGGTGAGAAAGCAGAAACCCCAAAACGTGTTTTTTTAATAAAACTTGCGGCCCACAACCGACATTTGACATTCAAGTTGTCACGTTAGTGCGAACTCTGCACAAAATAATCTGCTTCCTAGCCTCCCTTAACCAGAACATTTACCAAATAAAATTTTGTGACAAGTGGTGACTGAGAGACATTGAGAAGGATACATACAGTTAATGGTATAATTATAACAAAATGTATGCAGGCATGTATGTATGTCACTCAATCCATGACTGTTTGTGGGACACAGCTGTGCACAATTGGCTGCTGCTTTTTGCCCAAAAATACAGTCATTATACTTTACAGTATATTCTGTGAAGCGCTTTGAGACACCTCAAACAAGTGATAAGGCGCTATATCAAATGCAAAGATTATTATTGTTGTTATTATAGCAGATTGAACAGCATATCAAGCAGAAAATGTACCCATGCATAAGTGCAGGTTTTTTTTAAAAAAAACTTGTGATTTATGACACGGTTACAGGAAAAGTTAATGCTTCCCAACCCGTTACCGTCTCCTGCCGACACCCTTAAATAAACTGCTGCAGGGTTCAGTACTTAAAATGCACACGTGTTCCCTGACACAGGGAATTTGCAATCAAGTGCCTTACGAGCTGCATTCTTTCAAGCTATTCTTAGCTCTCGCACGCACACGCACTCACGCACGCGCACACGCACTCACCCACACGACTTATGAAATGTGCCACTCAGAAATGTGTCACGACTGATCCCAGACACAGCCACGTATGTTCTGGTGGCTCCAAGAGCTCTGAAATAAACTTCCCTACAAATTGATAAAAACGAAACCCGCTCAGCTGGGAGTCAGTGGTGACATAAAACAAAGTGATTTACAACCTGAAACATATTGAATATAATTGCCAAGCAGGGATCTTGAGTTTCCAACTGCTCACCAAACAGTGTTTTAACAGAACAATATATATATCTAAATAATATTAAAACAAAACACAATCTAGGCTCCAGTGCAGGGCTGGCTTGGCTTCATTGCGTTTGCAATGCTTACCTTCAGCATCATAGTGATGTGATTGTTCAGGGCTGTGAACAGCTGTGACTGCCACTGGAGGTTTCTGACGACTTATAAACGGTGAGTTTCTATGACTCACTCCGGTGTCTGACGTGATTCAGAGCATGAGTGGCCATCTCTAATAGTAATCTGGGAATGCTGTCTCACTTCCCCCGAAATTACAATCATAGATTATTATTGTTCCTGTGAAGAACTGAGCTATACCTCTCCCGGTGAAAAGGCGCTAATGTCAAATAAACTGGTTATTATTGATTTGCTTCACTTAAAGCTTTACTATTTTCATTCACATTTTCTGCTTCTTCCCCCAAATACGTTCTATGTATTAAATTACACAATCTGCTGAGTCAGTGGTTTTCAACCTTTTTTTAAAAAAAGTTCCGCTTCTACTGAAGATTCCTGCTCAGGTACCCCCTTTACAACTTTTGTTCCACTGAATGGTTCCACATTTGGAATCGGTGTGTCTGTATCTTTTTCTCTGTCTCCTTTCTCTTTCCCTTTCTTTCTCCCTGTCTCGTTTTCTCTCAAGTCTCTTTCTCAGTCTCTTTCTCCCTCCCTTCCTCTGTCATTTTATCTTTCGGTCTCTCTTTCTTCCTCACGGTCTCTTTCTTGTTTTTTCTTTTTCTTTCTGACTCAGGCTCTTTTTTCCCTCTCTCCTTTTGAACTGACCGCGCTGAATCTCAAGTGTGACTGATCACAAGCAACAATTCAATTGGAAACAGTTCCCCCGCCTCCTGCCTTGCCCATCAGTTACGCACCAACCTTGTATGTTTGCTTTCGCATTTCTAAGTCGTCCTGCTTAAGCACTGTGACGCTTAGAGAAATCCCGAGGGGTGTACACACATCAGGCTGAAAATCCCTGCATTAAATCAATGCCCAGCTGTGCTACACTGCCTTGGGACGTCCTCCTGATGTGAAGGCGCTATAAAAAATGCAAATTTTAGTTGTATTTTAGTGTTACGTGCAAATACACGGATTCAGATGTTTTGTTCAAATGGAAAAAAGGATCCATCCAGCTTGGAAAACATCCATTTGCCTTTCTCTTGTTTTCAGGATGGACCAAAGAAAATTTCTGCCAGATAAAATTATTTTATATTAGCAATATTTATACAATATATTTACCAATATATGCAAGTATACATATTACTTAATCTGTTTCATCGATAAAATGACTCACATTTCCCAGTAATCTTCATCCGTTAATGACAATGACTCATGCAAAAAACTATTCTCTTTTTTTACACACTGACTCATTAACACTAGATATAGAGAAAAGGTCTCTCTTTTGAGTCTTGGCTAACAATTGCCCCTCCACCCCCCAAAAAAACAATTGATCACTCATTCCATGACTGTCACTGTGGGCAAATGGGCTGTTGTGATGACCCACAAAACAGTCACACCACTTGTGAAGCTCTTTGAGACATCTAGACAATGATAAGGCGTGATATAAAATGCAAGGATTATTCTATTTTAAATACACCCTCACACCTGTTCAATCAAATGCATTTTAATATACTTTGATGATCATGCATAAGTTCTTCCAGATTTTTTTAAAATTGTCAATTGCTACAGCTATAATCAAAATTACTGTGAACTATTTCAGTTCATTAACTGCACTAACTGTTGAGTTGTGATGGCCAATGCCAATCAATATACAGTATTTTTAACAAAAAGACCGTATTCTATTCATTAAATCCTGAAGGTTTATTTTAAACCGTTTCCAATATCAATGAAATGGTTAGGAAACCAGCTGTATCTTAATTGGGGATGTAATATTTTTAAAAGTTATCCAGTCACCCAACACAATTCAGGCAAAGAGTAAACCAGGAATTTCTGAACAATTACCGGTTTTCCCTTCTTAAATGTTAATCCGATTTTATATCTGGTTTTGCAGTTTTATTTAGATTCTCCTGGATTTTATATACAAAAAAGTCTGCCTACAAATGTACTGGTCACTTTACAATAAATTCCTGTGAAGCAATTACAGACAGTCTCTTGATGTGGGAAGTGTTATATCAAATGCAAGGATTATTATTAATTAAGTTAAAATAAGTTTAGAATTGAATTTCGGTGGATGAATAATACTAAATGAGCTGCATACTTTTGTGAAGCAGCAAAAACCTTGAAAAACCCTCAAAAAGTTTGGATTTGGGGCTAATTTGAAAAACCTCTTAAATTTTCAATGCCTTGTGATTTTTTGGGGGAAACCAACTCTTTTAACAAGAATGGTGTGACCCAGTATTGCAGAACTGGTCGAGCAATATGGTTAAAAACCCATACACTGCAACTATGCAAAATCAACCTGTGTAAAACAAACATTAAACATTTCAAAGAAGAACCTGAAGATATATAGATCATACACTAACCAAGAATTTCCGTGGGTTTCCACGAATCAGAATATTTCCATAACATTTCTATTTAATCTGATAATTATTGCCCATAAAATAGAACATTATACGGCAGCAGTGTGATTAGGATCAGGAACTCGGGTGCAATGCGAATTCAAATCTGCACGTGAACTTACCTCCATGGCACTGGTCTTTAAAAAACACATATTAATCACACTTGTACAATAGTGCTTGTCAAATGTTTTTTATTCACATATCCTTAATGTGTATTTACAGCATAATCTTCATATCTGGTAAAAACATGTGTGCAACTTTAATTGTCTTGATTGCAAAGTTATATTGTCAAATATTGTCTTCTTTTAAAAAAGTTTAAATAACATTCATACAGAAGTAAAAGTACTAATAATATTTTCTGGTTCGTGGCATGATTTCACGTAGACCAGTTCCTAACCTTGATTGTGCAGAACCCATACATTTCATACTAATATTTCCTGGGAGACAAAGTGTCTTCAGGGCCAAGGTCTACAAACAATATCTTTTGATAAGAGCCTGTCTGTCGCTTCACAAGCAGAATTTTATTATAAAAGAAAACTTGCTTCAGGTACCTTCTGCCGATGGTTCCTTTGCTCCCTGGACACTTTTTACTTTTCTGTAAAGATGATAGGATTGCCAATGTTTAAATGAACATGGCTTTCCCGTGCTTCAGACTGTGTCAAACTGGGTCTTTTTTACTTTATAAACCTTTTGAATGAAACTGAACCTCAGCAGATGGTAACATTTCTGGTAACTTTTCCAGTCGTGAAGTTTCCTTTGTAAATTGTGGAGTTATCCTTCCTCGCCCTCTTTATCTGCAAACTAAGCAGTTTGAACTAAATTTGTTGATCAGGCTCTTTTCAAATATATATTGCCAAGCTCGTCTGACCTTTACAAATTGGTTCGAGCCCTGCAGCAGGTGAATTCACAGGCTTGACGTTTAAATGGCACCAATTCTTCTACTAAGAACCCAGTTACCCAGAAAGTTTAAGGTTTCTATTGCAAAAAAGATAAAAGAAATTGATTGCCAAGACTTAATAGCACATGGTACCATTGAGAAACAGTCAAGCAGCTCTTCTAGATTCAACCCGATTCCAGAAACAATCTTAAAAGCCAATGGGTTCCCACCCCCTTTTACTGGAATCGAGGTCTCCTTGGAATATAAGCGAGTCTCCTTGGTGCTGAACCAGCTCCAAGATGATGTGTTCGGCAACGGAACGTCACACTCGAGCCAGCCCCGAGTAACCCGGTTGCTGAGTCAGGCGTGTCCGCAGTACTCCACAGCAAATAAACAATTTATCTCTGGAATTTCCATGAGTAAATGGGATGCAACTGGAATTCTCAGTTTGGTTGAATCCTCCCGACGTGAAAGGCGCTTTACAAATGTCCCTGGTGGACACTGCTCACATGTCACTATTTGACCAGTTGCTGCGTCTCTCCTTTGATACGTAAGGTTGGCAGTGCACAATCTTGAAATAACTGCGACCAGTGCAATATTGATGATGTACTGACGAGAAAGCAGAAACCCCAAAATATGTTTTTTTCAATAAAACTTGAGGCCCACAACCCACGGTTGACATTCAAGTTGTCACATTGGTGCAAATTTGCGGTTCCTAGCCTCCCTTAACCAGAACATTTACCAAATAAAATGTAACAAAGGGTGACTGAGAGAGAGCGATAAGGATATCTTCAGTATGTATGTAGAGTAGATGAATTAACAGTAAATCAAGTAGAAAATGTACGTGTGCAGGTTTTGTTAAACTTGTTATGACATGGACACAGGAAAAGTTGATGCTTTCCAACCCTCCACCTTCTGCTGTCGCCCTTTTAAAAAAAACCCGCAACAGCATTCAGTATTTCAGCGCACAAATGTTACTGTGTGCCTTGTATCACGCAGCACACCCTGATACAAGGCACACAGGAACATTTGCAGCCGAGCGTGTTCGAAGCCACATTTCTTTAACCCACTCATAGCTGACTCAGACCGGTTTGGGTTTGAAGCTGATTTGAAAAACCGTAAAATTTCAGTGCTTTGTCATTTTTAGAAACCCACATTTTTAACAAAACGTGGGAACAGGCATTGTAGAACTGTTCTAGCAATATTGGTAAAAACCCACGTGCTGCAACAGCACAAATTCAATTTGCACGAAGCAAACATTAAACATTTCTGAGATGAACCTCTGCTACTCACTGAGCCAAGCTCTTGGGAATAGAGACAAGAACAACATTTATGGAGTAAATTCTGCCCAGTTTGCTCTAATGTAATGGACAAGTTAAAGGTTTCCTGAGGAAACGATTTGGACTGAGCATACAAACCTCCCCCAAGTGGCCAATTAGGCACAATTTTATTTTAAATTGTTCTGAGAACTGATTCTGTCTCAAATATCTGATACTGAATGTATAATAATGAACATAGGGTGAATACAATATTTTCAACAACAACAACCACCACTTGCATTTATATAGCGCCCTTCACATGGGGTAACGTCCCGGAGTGCTTCATCTTACATTTTCATTTAAGATGAGTCTCGTTGCTTGATGGGAAGCTCGGTTGATTATTGGGTTGGTTTCTGGTTGATTATTTGACTAAAGTCCTGGTTCAAGAATATTGAGTTCTTGATCCTGTTCATTTCTTGAAATGACCGAAGAGTGAAGTTTAAGATCTACGGGAAATTGTTGGATGTGGATAAATTGCTGTTTTATGTCTTAGTACGGCAGTGGCTTCTGGTTTAAAATTGTGATCTAAAGTTCATTGGAAAAGACCCCCATCTCAAATGCATCACCCCACCCCCCACCCCTCAACCCCCACACACACAACCCCCAACCCATTCCCCCTCAGACACACACTGATGACCAACACAGTGAAGGACGTTAGCTGGGCTCCCGGAGAAGGTGTCAATCTCCCTCGATCAACTCAACCCCACAGTCCAACCAACAAGAGTTGAATTATCAAATATACCCAGTGAGGTCTTGGAAGTGTCAATCGTTCAATGTGGTTTGATTTCCTTTCACAAGATGACTCTCCGACTTACCCATCTTCAAATTCACATCGGAATAGAAAGGAGGGAACAGTTCAGCTGGTGTTGGCGATCGTATTTTTTTGGTCCCATCCCCTTGAATACCTGAGGGTCCACTGTTGCTCATATTGTCATTGTTCAAACGGCTTTGTCTCGCTGAGCCGCTGGAGGATCTCGGCTTGCCTTTACTTGAAAAGAATGTGGAAATCTTACTTTGGTTTTTTCCAGGTACTTCAGCTTTTGAAAATGATGGAACTGATCAAAAAACAAAGACAAAGATTAGGACGCAAGTGAGAGGAAAACCTTTTGTGCACACTGAAATCATGAAGCGTTAAAAATGCCAATGATTACACATCAGGGCTCTAACAATGCCCAAGGTGTCAGCTCTAATATGGGGGAAACCTTGGCCAAGTTTCTTAGTTCACACGCCTGATAACAATCGCTCAAGAAAAAAAGAACAAATAAATTGGCCATTCAATCCACATCTGTTTGTGGAACACTGCTGTATGCAATTGGCTGCCATGTTACGCCCACACGAACAGTTTGAAAACCACAAACCCAGATTTCTCCCTCCCACCCCTTTTCAGCTGCTATCTCAAGGTGTAATGCCAACAATGAATTCATCACCAGAAAATGTAACCATGATGTGTACAAAAACCAAGCTCAATTCTACGCACACCTAAAATCCCCACCTGTTCCCTCCCTCTCCCCCGCTCATTTAAATTGAGCAAACTATGACGGAGTAAAAACTGATGCTCGGACCTGTTATAACGTGTTTAAAGATTGCAATGTCAACAACAATAACCTGCATTCATATAGAGCTCTTCACGTGGGGTAGAGTCCTGGAGAGAAAGGTCATGCGCATTTCATTTAATCAGAGTTCAGAGATCTAGTTAAGAGTGCAATTCATCACGATATTATTGAAAATGTTCTGCTTACATTTTCACTGTTTGCCAGGTGTTAGGTATGGATGCTGGATCCATCTAAATTTTCAAGACTCAGTTGGATAGATTTTTATTAGGTTAAGGGTACCAAGGGATATGGGGCAAAGGTGGGTATTTGGAGTTGAGGTACAGTTCAGCCATGATCTAATAGAAAGCTCGAGGGATTGAATCTCCTACTCCAGTTCCTATATTTCAATAAGCTTGTCTCAAAGCGCTTCACTGGATTTTACTGTGAACGAAGTGAGTGTGTATTTGTAGCCAAACACGGCAGCACAATTGTGCACAGCAATATTCCACAAACAACCATGAAACAAGTGACCAATTTTGTTTGGAGAGATTGTTGGCCAGGACATCGGGAGAAACTCCCTTCTCTTTTCGAATAGTGCTATGGGATCTTTAACGTTCACCTGAATAGGCAGACGGGACAGTGGTTTAATGTCTTATCTGAAGGATGGTATCACCAACAAAGAAACCCCCACCCTAGCACTGATTTGGGAGAGTCAGTTTTGACATAAGATTTGAAGCCACCATAACCTTCTCAAGCTATAACATTCTGAGTCATGTGATAAACCTACATAAAGATCCGATGATAAATAATTCAAAACAAATTGCTGGATCAGATACTCGGTTAGAAGATACCTTTACGTTNAAAAAAAGTAGTTTTGTTAATAGAATATGAAAACAAAATGACATTCAATGAAAGATTACCCATGCAGTTGTCACGACTAAGATTTTGAATAGTTTGGTTTTTGTTCATGCATGTTTGTTCAGGATGTTTCCGTTCAGTCACGTGTAGAACTTCCCCTGCTTTGTCATGTTGTTGCTCATTCTCCATGAACTGGTTTGTTCCTGTCAGTTCCTGGTACATCTGAACAAATTCCTGCTTATGATGTGGTCGAACAAATATGTAAAATCCTATGGATAAACAATTCAGCATAAGTTCCCAGATTTTGGTAACTTTGGTTACATTTAAAAGGTGGCAGACATTTCCTGCACAATTATTACCATACAAAGTGACTAAGATTTCCCAAACAAATTCAGAACTCCGTTTGCCCGCTCCAATGAACTCTGTACCCCAGTCCTTGGGAGAGTCAAATCACGGCTGAAATTATTTATTGGGTATTGAGCAAATGCAGGAAGCCAACATTGTACTACAATTTAGTGTATACCATGGTGCCACCTTGCTATGAACGGACCTGAGCTCTAACGGGTGAGCTCTATAATGTTGCCTGAACAACACATGAAAAGCAGCTGGAAGCCCTCTCTTTTTCCCGCTCACCCCCAACCCTCCCTTGGATTCACAAAAGGCGGCACCTCCACTGAATTCCATATCAAATATAAATTCTTAATCTGAATGAAGGACCTGAGATTAAATGATCCAATATTTACTTACTTCGTAGCAAGTGATAATCCTCCGACCTTTCAGTAAAGAGAGCAGCTATTTCAGACACCACGCCTTCATAGTTATCAGTTTTTTTATACATATGAAGTGCTGTTGAAAATCTGTTGTAGGTGATCGGCCCCAAAGCTTTCTTAACGTCACTAATATATGCAGCAAGCACCAGCTGTTTCTTCTGACCTGATAAAGCAGTTGATATTTGCGAAGGAGCAATTGCAGAATCGGCCGGCTCAGAATTACAAGTTACGCCTACATTAAATACAAAGGCACGAAAAGAAAAACATTATAAATGTGAGAAATGTGGAGTCCTTTAGTGTATTGGTTAGACCACTTGCCCGCAAGCGAGAGGACCTGGGTTTGATTCCCAGGCAGGTTTTTGCCCACAAAATATATTCACAGAATAGACTGTAAAGTGAATTGACTGTATATTTGTGGGCGAAACGCGGCAGCTAATTGTGCACAGCAAAGCGAGTGCTCTAACCACTGAGATACAGGACTCCTGATAAGGGGCTTTATCAAATGCAAGGATTAGAAATGTAGAACACACTCCTACTTTAAATGGCTCTCTCACTGATTTCTTCAATCACTACTCTCTTCAGAAACACATTGCCGCCTCAAACCAATTTAAAATGCTAGTTTCAGTGGCTTTCCTAGATAACAAGATCAGATTTCCAGATTATCCTTTTGTTAAACAATCTGCTCCTCCTTATTCCTAACTTATATTTCACTTAATTTTTGCTTTTTAATTTATTTTGTTCCTAATTTTGGTGTCTGTGGATCATATTCTCACCTCTGGTCAGAAGGTTTTGTATTTGAGCCTTATGTCATTTCAACCAAATCGGATATTTACATCCATCTCTGTCTTTGCTAATCGTGGAAATGTAACATCACATTTGGGCACCTCTTTCTCTTTCTCATCATTGAAAAAATGAAGTAACTAATAACAGCTACATCTATGCCCCCAAATTCTATTTTCCTGCCATCATTTGCAACGGGAACACTTATTCACCCTTTTTGGGAAAAAATCTAAAAAATGTTATTTGAGTTTTGCTTTAAACATTTGGTCACTTAACCCACGACTATATGTGGGACACTGATGTGCACAACTGGCTGCTGCATTTCACCCACAAAATACAGTCACTGTGACAGTATATCCTGTGAAGTGCTTTGAGAAGTCTCAACGACGTGATAAGGTGCTATATCAAATGCAAGGATTATTATCACCTTCCAAGCTAATTTGAGAAAAATCTCAAGCAAATAATAATAATTCTTGCATTTAATATAGAATGTTCTCTAATAGCAAGTGTCATTCCCTTATTGTAGTGAATCATATAAAAGAATCAACAACTTTGCCAGTCAGTCAGCAGCTTTCCACTCCATTTACATGATAAAATATGAAAAAAATCTTAAATGGTTTAAGAACTTGATTTTCCTTTACGTGGTGTTTATATTACACAAAAAAAAACCATAACATTCCAGTGTGGCAAATCCCTTCCATTTACACTTGTGCAAAATGTGTCTACACTTGTTCCGTAATTCTTACACATTTCTCAGAAAAAAAAAGAACTGAAACACGATCTTTAGCAGTCATTAACTCTAATAATGCTGCTTTTCCAATGCACTGTAACTCCAGAGCCTCATCCTCGCACACTGTGTGAGAAAATGAACAATGTTGTAATAATAATCCTTGCATTTGATATAGCACCTTATCACCTCTTCGAGACGTCTCAAAGCGCTTCACAGAATATACTGTAAAGTGAATTGACTGTATATTTTCTAGGCGAAACACGGCAGCCAATTGTGCACAGCAGTGTACTGCAAACAGTAAAGAAACTTGGCTAATGTTTCGCCCTGTCCAGGAATCGAACCCGGTCCTCTCACTTGTGCGGCGAGTGCTCTAACCACTAAGCGCACAAGGAGGCTATTCAGCCCATTGAGTCTGCACTGCTCTCAGAGCAAGGTGTGTATCCAATCAGAATAACCTGGCTTATCCCCCATGTCTCTTTGTACCTCTATCCTTCATATACCTGTCTACTTCCCTCTTCAAAGCCACAATGGAGTCTGCCTCTACCACCTTACTTGACAGGGCATTCAACATTCCAACAGAGTCACTCTTTGCGCTCTTCTCAAGACTAATAACTACTACCCCAGACAATGATGCTCCTAATCAATGACTCATAAGAATGTAGTCAAGTAACTCTGACGAATTCTGTAATAGAATCAACATTACCTTTGCTAACGTCTCCGGAAATTAGATGAGGTCGCCCTTGATTGAGATGTGCACATGTATTTAGCTGCTGGGATGAACTTTCTGAAGATGTAAATTTGTTCTCTGAAGGATGTATAGATTCAAGCTTTTGTTGATTCTCAGCACCTAAATGTTGTCAAAATAAAATAGCAGATTGTTTGAAACATGACATTGACTGATCTTAAAACATCTTTAGGTTCTAGATTCAATGACCACTGAATAATATCACAACTTCCTGAACTTTCGTACCTTAATAACCATCATGTATTCACATTTATTACACATAATAATTAGAGAATTCCACGAATAGAAATTCTCCTCCCCTAATTCCCCCACACCACCCCAACTATCCAACTATCCAGGACCTCACCAAATGGTTATTGTTCATCTGTGAACCAAAAAAAAGTTCTGGGTATACATTTTTTAAAGTAAATTATTTGATTAGGTTGCACTATTCTAAGTCGTTTGCGGGAAGCCGGGTAGAGGTGGACAAGAATATTTATTTGCAATGTTCTTCCCCTATTCCCTGCATTCCCGAAGATAATAATTCCTAATACCAGCATTCCTCTGTATGGTACCTCAGCCCAAGTTAGCAAGAGCTTTTTTTTATGGTCAGCCACGTGTCTGACACATATGGAATCGCATCACCATCCTTAAGAATATCCATATGAAACAGTTTCATGGATGCCCCTACACAGTCCTATGTACTGGAATGGAATGCGCACTCTCTCCCTGGAGGGATGCATCCTGCTTATCTGATTGCAAAAAATATTAGGTGCAGGCGAGCAAGAGCTAAGGCTTGGGGGTCCCAGAGTGTGTGTGTGTTGGGGTAGTGCTGGAGTTAAACCAGCTAAAACTACACAGCTCGCCATTGAAAGCAATATCTGGGAAGCTTCCTGCCTGTTTATCTGGACAAACCCACTCATTAGGACTGTGGGCTGCAGGGTTAACAGGAGCCGAGTGGGAAGAATCCACACTCCAAGTGCCCCTGATGAGCCATGCTAGCTGGTCTGTCGTCAGCAGTATCCTGGAGTACTGTGGACTGACCAGGCTCAGGAATCAGACTACTGAGGCCGCTAGAGGGTTGACTCAATTCTGACATCCCACTGCTTAGCACATCACCTTGGAGCAAGTTCAGCACCAAGGAGACGCTGGTTTACTTCTCCCACCATAGTCAACAGGAGCAGGAACCCTAACTGTTTCCCTTTCCTAGCCCAAGAATACCAATTGTAGCACCGCATCACATCTTTATCTAAAAACAATCATTACATTACAGATTAAAGTTTAATTCTGGATCTTTCCTTATGTGTTTAACTACCGGGTATTTGTTTTGGGAACAAGTGCAAACAGTCATTTCCAATTTGAAAGTATCTTTTGTTCTCGTAAAATTTATGTTTGGTAAAAATGAGGAACCACCTCATTCCTATGAAAAGTATTTTCAGGGATTTCCCCCTTGTTTAAGAGATGATAAGAAGAAACACTATCCAGGAAAGTCACATTTATACAACTCATGTTCCTGGCAGTAAATCATGGTGACAAGGCATTTGTATGGTTTCGTAAAAAAAAGGAATAATGTTATGCAACCGTAACAAAATATATTATTCATCTAATCTTATTCCCCGAATTTACCATTTCCTTTCTGTTCTGTTGTTAGTCTCTCCTCTCTCGGAACTTCATGCTCAGGTTTATAGCCACAACCTTCTCCAGTTAGATTAAAGCAAGCTTCATCAAACTTTTTCTTATGACGTGGCCGAACGAACTGATAAAAATCTGTTTAAAAACAGTATTGAGAATCCATTGAAACCATGTCTTCAAGGCATGAAAGGTGACAGAACCATAAATGGCATCCACATATCCATTAGCTTGACCTCTTGATCATTAGCAACTTTCATCTTGGGAGAATGTCCTCAAAATGCTTCAGAGGATATTACTGTGAAGTCTAGTAACTGTATTTTGTACCCGATCATATAAGGACTGATTAGTGGCACATTAAATTCAGATAATTTAAAATAATTTAAAATGATTCCTACTTTCTACATGCAAGGCACTGCACATAGACAGTAGGAAAAGGGGAGTGTTAGGTGACTCAGTGCTCATCGCATCAAAACCAAAAAACAAGACAGCACATTGCTGAATCAATTAAAAAATGCAAACCTGTCCAGTGTTGTGGTCAGGCAACATCTGAAGTATTGTTTACTGTTCTGGTTGCCACAGCATAAGAGAATATAACATACAGAATGTAAGAAAAGGAGTTTCTCCTGGTGTCCTGACCAAGAATCCCCCATACATACGTAATTTTGTATTGCACGTAGAGTTGGTCATTTGCTTCATTGGCTGCTTGTAGGACATTGCTGTGTGTAAATTGGCTGCCACGTTTGCCCACAAAACATAGTCACTCAACTTTACAGTGTATCAATTTATAGTTTGTTTCCCCAGTTTAACCTTTACATATCAATATTTCATTTCTACAGTGAAGTGCTTTGGGGTACCCTGACCAATGTGAAAGGCACTGTACCAGAGGTAAGGATTATTATTTTAAAAGTAGGATTAGCATATTAATAGGATAGTACCCCGGGAAAGCTGAAAGAGGAGTGTTGGGTGACTCAATGTTACTGTGAAGTCTAGTAACTGCTGTAAAACACAAAATAAACAAGACAGTACTGTTCTGGTTGCTACCACATAAGAGGGTTGTAACGAGTTCAGTTGATCAATCTTTTCCAGGAAGTATGCATATTACAAAGCATATTTATTATTGTTTTTGAAGTGACAGGTAATGTCCCACCACTAAGATGACTGCAACATCTGGCAATGATTGCTTGCTGCTCAGATGAAATTAATTGCTTCCATTTATGGTTTGTATCCCCGATTTAATCTTTACATATCCCTCGCTCTATTTTTTCACTTCTACATAGCATGCGTTTTGAATTGAGCAACACATCGGTGTATTTTGAAAGAAGCAATAAATCAGAATGATCAACAGAATTGTCACCCATTACACTGTGCTGTTGTCATTTTGGTTGCACTGATGGAGACATCTAATTTACATCAGGCTTAAATTACCTCGTAGAAGACTGTGCTTTTTCATATCTTCTGTAAAAAGAGCTGCCAGTTCAGCAAGCATGGTTTCAAAATCATCTGTCGTCTTGTACTTTTGCATAGCTTGTGTAAATCGCTCATAGTTAGCCTGGCTGAGAGTCTGCTTCACAGCTACCATGAAAAACTTAGCCTTTTCTGCTTTTGTCCTTTCAGATGGTGGCAATATATCAAACCCCTAAATACAAAAAAAATTACAAATTAAACACCTCTACGAATTGTAACTAGAAAGGCAACTTCAAACAAGCAGAACAATTTTATTCTCCGTACAGTAATAGTTGGATAGTTCTGAATTGAAGTGATTTATCAATTTGAAAGGGTTATAGGAGGGAGGGAGTAAAGAGATGGAAGACTTTTTTTTAGAAAACACAGGAATCGTGTTTTAGAATTAAATGAATCAGGAATACAGAGACAGGAAACAGCTAGAATAAAGAGAATCCCCCTCCAATTCCTCCCATATCCAATCAAGCGTCCATCACAATGATCAAACATAACACCAGTTTTTTTACTACGTATTATAAAAACAGACTACATGTGTAAATGCACTCTCAAGCACATTATTGGAACCAATTTCAAAGATGATTTCACATTATGTAAAGTAGAACAGGGAAATAGCTTTTCTTAAAGAAATACAATACAAAATTACATTTGTAGAGCGCCTTTCACATCAGGAGGATGTCCCAAGGCGCTGGATAGTCAGGGATTTGGACCCGAGCTAGTGGTCGGGATCGGGGAGGGTGGAGGGCAGGGAAGGTTGCTAAAAGCTCGGTCCTTGAAGGAGGCAAGGGATGGAGCGAGGCGAAAGGAATGTGCTATTAACCATTAGCTGCTAGTTTATTACGACATTAGCTGAAATATTACAATTTTGGAGTGCAGATATAAGATATGAACACGTACACGTTTGCTAATGAGAGTGATTTTCTTTCTTCCTCCCTGCCGTTCATCAATGAGACGTTTATCATACTGCAGCGACAATGTGGACATCCTCATCGCCTTATAAAATCCACAGAAAATTGAAGAGCATATTAATAATAATCCTTGCATTTCATATCGGGAGGACATCCCAAAGCGCTTCACAGAACACACTGTAAAGTGAATTGACTGTATATTTGTGGGCGAACGCGGCAGCCAATTGCCCACAGCAATGTCCCACAAACAGTCGTAGATTGAAAATTACCAATTTATTATTGTTGTGGTTATTATTATTATTATTAGTAGTAGTATAATAAACAGCAATGCTGCCATCTATTGGTTGCCAGTAGTTTTGCAAATGTTTAGATAGCATTCAGGTAACCACTGAAACAATTCGAATAATAATACACTTTGCATTTGATATAGTGCCTCATCGCTTCGTTAAGACGTCTCAAAAGCGCTTCACAGGATATAATGTAATGTGGATTGACTGTGTATTTTGTGGATAAAACGCAGCAGCCAGTTGCGTACACCAATGTGACTACAAACAGGCAAGGAATGAGTGACCAATTCTACTTTGGAGATTGTTGGTGAGGACACTGGAAAAATATTCCCTTCTCTTTTTCAAATGGTGCCATGGGATCTTTAACGTTCGCCTGTAAAGGTAATACCGACCCTCGAAGGACCTCTTATTTTAACCTCTTATCCGAAGGACACACCTCCGACAATGCAACCCGCCCCACGCCCACCCCCAGCACTGCACTGAAACTCTTTCCTACCTTTTCTTCACCAGGGAGTTTGTCTTCATCAGGCTTTAGTTCAGTATGTTCCAAAGCATCAAGGAGACTAATGGGTTTCTTCCTTGTATTCTCCGTGTCTCTCTCATATTCAACACAAAGCCTTGCCATGGAATCTCCACCAGAAGTCGTAAGATCAGCTGGTTCAAAAAAGAATTGAACTGTGAAATGAAGTTCGCGCGAGTTTCATTAACTGACATAATTAAAATGACTACGGTATTTACTTAAGAAACTCGTCCTCGAAATTACCTGAAAATTTAAACACCAAATTAACTAACGCAAGTTTCAGTTTCATCGTTTCTGAACAAGCAACATGTAAGACAACTGCCTCTCTGCTCTGCACCTCACTCAGTCTTTACCTTTTGTGACTAAGTACCCTATACTTTTTTATGGTCTAAGAATGCTAAGATGATTGGTAAGATAATTGTAAGATGACGATGATGATGATTGGGTTTTAGATGGTGAATTCTATCATAAGCACAGATGAAATGAAAGATTTTTTTCGCCACATGCATGTCTACAGAAATAACTATAAAATGCAATGTGTTTTTCTAAAGCTGTTGCTTTCTGTTTATTAATATATTGATGGACCCCTTGTGTTTATTCAAGTAATTACCCTACTGCAGGGAGATTACTGGCTGTTCTCAATCAATGGTGCCAGATGCCTGAGTGACCAATATTACTGCTTTAATCACGGAAAATGCAAAGTGAAATGAAGTCAAGCTCTGATTGAGACAAAACGTAGATATACCTGGGCGCTTTCTTTTGAGGCTTGGGATGTGCGAGTCTAAAGTTTTCGCTTTAGGCAAACACAAGATAGAGGTTATGGACGTGGATGATGAAGCAGCCGAATTTATCGCTGAACACTGGCTGTCGCACTTTGACCCCGTCCTCTGTTTTGGTCGAGGCATCTAGATTAGGAAACAGAACAGTAAACTATTAATATACAACAAAATGGTCTTGATGCTGACAGTCTGAGGAACCCGATACCCATTTACTTATCTTTCAGTGGAAGAAATAGCAGAAACGCAAGGCTTATTATCCTATAAGTAATTCTGATCACTATTATAAACGGGGAAAAGGTATACGTTGTTTATTATTTTGAGATACTGAGATTTCTGATGCATTGGAAAAATCTCGAACCAGGAAATGTCTTCAGTGAGTACAGGGCACTGTACTCATCCAGTAGGAGACTCAGCGAAGCCTAGATCCACTCCACCACTCATACCGTGAGACATGTGTAATATGTTGCAAATGAATTACTGAGTCAAATACTTACAATCTTTTGGGCAACTCGAAAAAACTGAGCGGCATCTCGAATTACATGTCCGAAGTTTTCATACACTTTGACGTGGGGCCGGACCCACGAAGGCAGCTGTGACCTCACCTCAGTCCCCATAAATCTAAAGCGCAAAAACAAGGCGTAATGCAGATAATAATAATCCATGCATTTGATATAGCGCCTTATTATGTCTTCGAGACATCTTGAAGTGCTTCAGATTAGCCAGAGCAAGCGAAGAAGCTGCGATTAACTTTGAATACTCAAATCTGGCTAGCACAAGATGTTCAGAAAATGATGTCCCAATTATTTCTATAACACAATCAATCTACTGCATTACGTGTAAAGCACTGCCTTGGACCTAGAGAGGAATAATTATTTCTTAAATAGAAAAAGTCTCATCAGTTTACACACCTGTGATCACATAGAAAGATGGCTCCATAATCATCTCGGTGACGAATTACTCTTCCAATGGCCTGGTTAACAGCTCGTGAAGCTTGCTGTCTATACCACTGTTGCCCAGATAAATACTGAATGAGAACAAAATAGTGCGTTGGAGAATTTCGCCTGTAATTCATGCCATAATTATATTTAAACAAACAAAATCATTTCAAAAATAAGCCTTCAGTTGAGTTTAACAATAATAGTAATCCTTGCATTTGATACAGCTCCTTATCATGCCTTCGAGACGCCTCAAAGTGCTTCACAGAAAATATTGTGAAGTGTAGACTGTAGACAAAATTAAAAAAGTTTTTTTAAAATCAATCAAGTGGATTCAAAAGCCTTGTTTAATTTACTATTTCAATTTCTAAATGCGTACAACCAGAATATTTAAGACTCAATATAATCTGAAGGAACTCATGTATGAAATGCAGGCTTTAATCAAGGTACTGTACAAAGAAGATACAATGTGCAAGGCCAATCTTTTGCCCTGCTGTGATATAGATTACCGGAGTATTTCCAACACGTTTTGCTCTCATTTCATCAAGGAATTGCATCTTCAGGACCACTCTGGGGTCCATTCGAGGAGGAAAAGGCAAACCGGTGACCATGACACCTCGTCCATTAATGTCAGCAAAATCCAATCCTTCACTGATCTAAAGAATTCAGAAGAAAAAAATGCAGTGAAGCAATAACAACAACAAGATTGCATTTGTATAGCGCCTTTCACGTCGGGAGGACATCCTAAGGTGCTGGACAGTGTACAGCATTTCAGACCCGAGCTGGGGTCAGGGAGGGAGAAGGGAGGGGAAGGGGGATGACCGATGGCATGGTCGGAGGGTCTTGAGGCAGGACTTGGAAGGAGGCTAAGGAGGGGGCGAGGCGGAGTGACTGGGGGATGGAATTTCAGAGGTTGGGGGCAGTGGCTGAAGGCTCTCCCGCCAATGGTGGGGTGGATGGGTCGGGGGACGTGGAGCAGGCCGGAGCCGGCTGAGCAGAGAGAGAGGGCGGGTTGATAGGGGGTTAAGAGGTCTCAGAGGCGAGGCCATGGAGAGCTTTGTGTGTGAGGACCAGGATCTTGAACTGGATCCTCTGAAGGATAGGGAGCCAATGGAGTCGGGCGAGAGTGGGGGAGATGGGGTCACGGAGTATGGTGCGGGAAAGGACACGGGCTGCAGAGTTCTGGATTATCTGCAGCCTGTGGAGGGAGGAGTTGGGAAGGGCGACAAGCAGGGCGTTTGTATAGTCGAGCCTTGAGGTGATGAAGGCATGCACAAAAGCTTCAGTGGCCTGAGGGGTGAGGTAGTGGCGGAGTCGGGCAATGTTACGGAGGTGAGGGAAGGCAGAGCGGGTCATGGCTTGGATGTGGGGAAGACGACAGTTGAGGGTCGAACAAGACTCCTAGGTTCCTGACTGGCTGGTGAGTTGTAGTGTGCAACCGTGGAGGTTGATGCTGCCAGACCCTGAAGTGCAGAGGCGTTGGCGCGAACCAATAAGGAGAGCCTCAGTCTTGTTCACATTCAACTGTAGGAAATTTGCATAGATACATATTCATAAAGAAACTGATTGGGTGAAGACTGTGACATGCAAAGTACACATCATACTCTTATATCCATACTGTGGCAAATTAATTAAAAATGTGTTAAAAATTAATGAGCAAACTTACTCACCTTCCCTCTACACACAGCGTAGAAACAAGCTCCATTGGACTTTGGATCATTCACTTTATCATAGTACCTCTGCATAGCCTACAACAGATTGAGTATTAATAAGAAAGAGCACTTTTTAGTTGGACTTCTAAAACAAAAACTATTAAAAAGGCACACGTCTTGATACAAAAAATTTCTGTTAGTTGAGAGAGATGCTGAGATAATTTAGTTTTTTTTCCGTATGATATAAATTTCAAATATAAATGAACAAAGCAGTAAAACAGAAAAAGAATAACACTGTACCAACCTCTGTAAATGATCCCTTGCCCCTTGTTTCCACAAACATAGGTTTGATCTCTTCCATTCTACTGGTAGTGCCTTGCTCCTGTTACAAAAATAATATCTGAAACCGAACACAGTATATTCCCAGTCTACAGTTGATGACTAGACATTTATTCCTCCAAACTGTACCAAAATCAAAGGTGCTTGTTTTACAGATATTTGGCGTATTTGTTGTCTATTTTTACCAAGTGTTATTGTACGAGGAAAACACACTTTTCTAAAAATCATTGGAACTAGAAGGAAAACTAATAACCACCTTAATCATAAAGTAAGGTAGACAATAAACATAAAATATCACTTACCTTCCAGAACTCAAGGTTTTTATCCATGACTGGGTACGAGGGGAAGAAAACCAATAATCCATCTGGCACTACACGACCAATGTTAACTTTTCGAGGGAGAAAAATAGGAAAGAAAATGTTTTTTGAAGTTCTTAAAATCTCTAGATCATTTTGCCAAGAGTCAACTAACCAATTTTATTAATAATTATAATTGTTGTTGAGAAATATCAAATCACTTCATAGAATATACTGTAAAATAAATTGAGTGTATATTATATATGGGCGAAATGCGGCAACCAATTGCGCACAATAGTGTCCCGCAAACAGTCATGGATTGAGTGATCAGATTTTTTTTGTCGAGATTATTACCTCCAGAAAGCAATCCGCCAATCAACTAACAACCCGGTGAACAGAGGTATGCGGAGTAAGGAATACAGATGACATTTTTCTGTTTTGTGAATGTAAAACATTACCCTATATCCAAGCCCTACTTCTACAGAATTAGTGCAACTGTATAAGGATATTTAATTGACCTGCTGAATTCAATTCCAATTAAGGTGGAATTCAATTTGCCAGGTGGTAGGGACACACAACATACTAATACCAGAAATGTATAACACTTACAGGAACCAATATGAAAGCAATTCACCAAACCTTAGTTTTGTTTATTCCATACATGCTTTGGATAGGAGTGTTTCAAAATATCTGCACCATAAAGGGCAGTGTAACAACAAAATTACATTTGTATAACGCCTATCACGTTGGAAGGACGTCCTAAGAGTCAAGAGTTTCGGACCCGAGCTGGGGGTCGGGATCAAGGAGGGTGGAGGACAGGGGGGGAAGCATTGGAAAAATGTGACTGTAATCTTAATGGTGCTCTTGTAACCTTTCTGAGTGTGAATTCCTTCAATATGAAGCCTATAATGTTGCCAAGTAGATTTCAAGTCCCAAGAACCAGGTCACGCACCATTGAAAGGAAATCCACAGTTCCTTATGAATTTCAAATCAAAACTCTTGACTTACCTATTGTTTGTCCAAGAGAGGAGATGTATTCAGGTGTAAACCTAAAGATAGACAAGAGTTTCTATCATGTGTTCTGAGACATAAAACCTTTCCAGGTAAAATTATGCATCACATGCTGTTAAATTACAATTTTATCATGAAAATTATACAAATCACACCTGTAAATAAGTCACACCTTCATATATTGAATAAACATACATGAAAAGGGAGACTTGCTCTTGATTTTGAAATATTGAATCTCAATTTATAATGACCAAAAAAATGACCAGTTGCTCAGCAATTGATGCATATCAATCGACATGCAACTACTTTGTATTAGCATTATACAAGTGTACTTCTTTCTATCTTACCTTTTGTCATATGCTGAGCTTAAGAGTGCTCCATCCGGGCCTTTTGGAACAATTCCAATCCATATCTGGTGCTTGTCAATCACATGAGGATTTTCTAAACTGACTGGGAAAGGGCTTTAAGAAGCATGGATAGCATTAATATAAACCTGACAACATCCAGTTATAAATTTGGCCATTACCAAAAGGTCATAAAATATCACCTTGCTCTTTCAGTATAATGCACACATACAGACTTAAATATTTATATCCAAAGCATTCCCTCACGCATACATGAGGGAGAATTGAATAGAGCGATAATGGAGAGGGAATTCGAAGGGATGGGGAATAACATGGAGCATAAACAATGGCATGGACTAGTTAGGTCAAATGGCCTGTTTCCATGCTATAAGTCTACGAAAAATTCGACTAAGCAGCATGAAACAATATGAAACAAAAAAGGCATAATTCTTACCCCCACTAGTTCCTTTGCTACCCAATTAAGGTTATATCCATTTCTTTTACTTGAATTTAAATTCCCATTGATGTATTATTCTAGGTGGCATTTAATACTATTTAATTAATTAATGCTAGATCTTAAAATAGAGCAATAAATGTGACAGGTGATAAAATAGCTTCATTCTAAAACTATTAACCAGTTGTTTATACTGCACCGTAATTAAGAGTTAAAAGAGCTGAACTGTTGTTTCAGATATATGGTAACCAAGGTGAATTATATTCAGCAATGGTAATATGTTTGTGTATGAATTTCAGTATCCCAACATTGGAAAATACAACTCCTACGTCCCTGAATACTTACATTTGCATTTCTAATGTAAAAGATGACAATGGAGAGAGAGTCCCACTCGTTAGGATGATAGACCGAACCCCTTGGCGCATCAGCTCAGCCATACTGTAGCCAGGGCAGAAACACCAGTAACTTAGAATGCTTCCTGCCAGAAGTAATTTTTCATGACGTTAATAGTGCCATCAGACATCTTGTAATATACAAACAGTTATGTTCAATACACATATTCTGATAAATATTCAACATATTTAAGTTCTGCTGATAGATTATTTCCGTCTCATCGTTTTAAATAACACTTCCTTAAATAAAGGTTCATATCCTCTGATGTGATATTTCATGAGTTATGTTAGAAGTGAATGATTGCTAGCACAAATGGATATTGATCGTGTCCTACTGTTCTTCATCATGCATTCTACTCCTGTTCACCACAAGGCGATTAAAAGTACATGATAGAGGCATATTCATCTTGAATGCAAACAATATTGATTCACAGTGGACAGGTTTCAGTGACTGTATGAAATTTCCTACTTCCCCCTCTCCTCTTACCTTAATCTTGACCGCAATGCTATAAAATATGAAAATATGAAATGCATGTCTTCCCCATTCTCAACTCTCAGTTCCACAACTCAGCTTTTGAAAAAGCCTATAACAAGTAGTAACTTGTAACTTTCAGTGAATACTTTTGCCTTTCCCTCAGAATCAAAGATATTCCAATGTGTTTATACCTTGCTTTCTTGTGACTGATGTCCATAAATCACGTCTCCATTTATTTTTTCCACTGTTATCTGGGTGTATGTGAACCTGTAGAAGATGTTCATTGGATACAATATGTAAATAATACCAGCAGAAAATTAAATGGATGAAATTCTTAATATAGTGGAAGGAGAGGAGTAAAATAAACTCAATGAAAACTTCAACAACATAAACGTATTATTATAATTGTGATGTTAATTTTTTTTTAAATTGCATTTATATTGTGTCCTCCACTTCTGATTATGTCTCAAAGCATTCACAGTAGCGGTTCAGAAACATGACCTAAGTGAAACGTAGGGAGTATAAGAGATTGGAACAAGATTTTAGCAAAATTAAATGATTTAAAATAAACAGCCTTGGAACCTCCTCCTGATGTGAAACGCGCTATACAAATGTAACTTGTTGTTGTTGTTAATGCAAGCTGCAGGAAGTGTTGAAATAAAAAGGCAAAACAAGTACAATGCAAGGCTGGCATTATTCAAACGACATGCTTACTTGTTTTAAAAAAACAAACAAACCTCCAACACATAAACTAAGCAAACAGCTATTTCCTCCAGACCCCAGCAATGAGGCGTGAAGAAAATGAACTGAACTAAACACGTATTGAAACAACATTTACAAAAGTCCAAGATCCGCTCTGTGAGCACTGATGGTATTCGAATATCAATTACAATTGAAAATCAATTCAAAAGTAACCTTGTAATACTTTGCCACATTCAGTCCCATTGCAGAATCTGCAGTACCCTCTGGTGGATCTATGCAGAAGACAATCTGAAAAAGAGATTTATTCACAAAATTACTTCTCGATGCAAGCCTTCTCCAACAAGATCAAACGGTGCATTTATGTTAAATCATGCAATACTAGTTGTTTAAACATCTTATCACTATTGTTTCACATTAGAAATGTGAAATGCTATGAATCAAATTACCCTTGAGTTTAAAATAGTTAGATATTAATAAAGATTACTTGAATCCACCGACACCACAGAAAGTGATTACTTTTTAAATAAAGGCTACAGCTATTTTCCAGTCGATAGTATTCATTTCAAAAACTGATCTCACCACCAATCTCTGAGTGACTTCAAACCAGTTGATTTTGACTACTGTAATAACTCTAAATGTAACTTTAAAAATAAATCCAATAATATCCAATTGAAATTATTATAGAGACTCAATAAAAACTTTAAATGACGAGATTCCAGTTTTATACGAACATACCTGAAGAATGTCAGCCAGCTTTTGTAACCCACTAGTATTGGTAAATACTCCACTACCTAGAAATGTACAAGCAATGATTTAAGTAATGTCTCTGAATAGCGATATATGATTGCTTCGCTGCAGACCTTCCTCAAACAAGGTTTAATAATACGCTGGGATACATAAACATTCAGCATTATTATATTCTGTTGCCAATTAGTGTACTGCTGGCATGATTGATTATCCATCACAGGAAACACAATGAGCAATCTTTGCTTCATAACCATGACTGGAATTGTATATTTGCTAGTGAAACATGATTAACTATACTCAACAGACATTGCCTATGCATAACATATGGTCTCAGTCAAATAAAATACCATAAATTCACAAAATGTGCAGGGCATAGCTTCGAAATTTCATAAGTTGGTTCCATTTCCCTTGTGCAATCAAATGTTATATGCAAACATCTGAAATTCTGAAAACCCATTATAAATGGAATAAGTTACTCTTGTGGTTAAGCACTTACAAAAATGTCTTTTACATAAACCTTGTTGGATTTCTAATATGAGAAAATAATGTGTTATGGTGCTGCTAGTAAAGTCAATTTTTTTTTGCCATATTGCTTCAGTAAAATAGATTTGAAGTCCCCCTCTATCTTCCTCAGAAGGGTTGATATACACTCTTCGCAAAACAGAGAGGGCCTTGGGAGAGGGCCTTGGGGAAGCAGCTGGAGTTCAAGAAAACTCTTTGTTACAAAATATTATAGAACATATTACTCATCAAATAATGCACGTTTTTCACTTAAAAGGTAAACATTCTCCAACAACAACAGATAAACAAAATAAAATTTTCTGGAGGATTATTAGCCTAGAAAAACTCCCTTCTGAATTCTGAATAATGTCATGGATTCTTTAATGTCCAACCCCCAGTAGAAGGGACCTTATTTTGACAGCTTCTCCGAAAGACGGAACCTCCAACAATCTAGACTTTAAGGCTCAGAGTACTACCAGAAGAACCAAGCTGAATGCTTACTTGTCTATTTATTAAGGTTGCAAGCACGTGGAAAGGACAGAATATATTAAATACTTACGCCCTGAAAGAAAACTCAAAATCTGGTCCAATGCTTCTAAAATTGTAGACTTGCTTTGGAAAGTAATTTGAGCTTGTGCAAACAATTCAAAGATGAAACTGCAGATGAAGGGTACACAAAATTAGTTGCAACAAGACAAATGGCTACAAAAAAAACTAGCGGCGTCCTGATCTATAATTAAAGTAGGGTAGACTTGTTTTCATTTATCAACACATCAATATCAATTATATTAAGTGGAATGGATACGAATTAACGACCATACAAATAAAAATGCCAGGTATGGAAAACATAAAAAGGCAATTATACCAACTACTTAAGGAACTTAGTCCAATTTTATTTTTGTAACTAGCGACACAGAGCATGATAAGTGTGAAACCCAGCTTGGTTACCCGCGGCCATTCTGTACCTTCATAGAATACATTTTGATGTTGTATATTTTCTGGGATAGTACTCATTTCACTGAACAAAACAGCTGTATTTTCTTTGGTATGCCCTGAAAATACCCTCCATTTCACACAAATATCTACAATCGGAAGGATTTGGATTTTGTTTTGGAAATCAGCAACATTTTCACTCTCTTTCTAACTCAAAAGGAAAACCTCAAAATGTACAGAGCTGAGCATTTTAATGTATTCTCTCCTTTTACTTCACTCAGCAATTTACATATAATATTTCTTAACAAAACTTATCAAAGATTTAATTACTAAATATAATCTTTAGTCAATTACTTGATGCGTTACCTTAATTACCATGCACTGGGTAAATCTAACTGCACCAACATTTGTACACCAATTACTGCGCCTCATCCCCTTGAGCACAATTACTGATTTAGTTCTTCTCTTATTAAGCTTCTGGTACTCTTTAGGTCAAATTCTAATTAGCTGGTTTTAAAGTTTCTCAATTCTTAATTTGCTGGGAAACTAATGGTAATATTTATCTTTTTGATTTTTATTACTGTAAGTAGTGGATTGGAAGGCTCAATAACATTGCCTATTAAATTTATGGGCAGCAATTATATAATAGTACTGCATAGAAAATATCTACCAGAATTAAGTTTTATCACAAAAAGAAATTCTATTTAATTGAAGGTACCAACCAGCAACTAAAAAGCAACTTTTTTAAGTTCTTTAAATATCCTCACCTCTCACTTAAAATAAAAAATAATATTCCAACACTCAACTGAAATAAATGTCTTCAGTCTTCACCAGGTTCCAATTTATTAATGAACATATACTTGTGGTGACTGATCTGGATATCTTTCATGGTGTTGGCGAGATCATTTTTTTTGAGATTGACAAAAGTTAACTATGCCTTTGGGGTCACATTGCAACATTATGCATTAAGTGTTTGAAAATTGAGCAACTGATAAAAGTTGCTAGCAGATTAGTTGCTTTCTGTCATCTTGATGTGATTTGGTTTTGTGCCATCCATTAATGCTGCTCAAGATTTTATACACTACATGAATTTACTGAGCAATTAAACCAAAAGGAAACAAAAAAGCAAATGTTTCAAAGCAAATGAGATAATTAGAAATGCAGCACGAAAGGAGTGTTTGAAATTCCACATCAAATAATTTTTCCCTTTCTTTTTTCTCATCCTCTTTTCTATGAAAACAAGTTGGCTCCACTGCAAAAGCCTATAGTTATTGAGAACTACAAGATAATAATAGTAATAAGATTTTTACCTTCCTGGTTTGGTCACTCCACTTCCATTTGAAGGTAACTGGATGGAATCTATTGCACTTTCCAAATCAAGCAGGATCTCTTTTAAGCACAGGAAAGAAAAAAGTTACTATCTTAAGTAATTTGAGAGCTACATCTTTTGTATCTTATGTGTTAGTGCATTACTAATATTTTACCTACTATTAAAGAGACAAAAACCTCACGAGAAAATTGTACACACTAAAGTGCAAACTAATGCAAACCTTAGATTATCTTTTAAAAAAAAATGTGACTTCTTCAGACTCTCGAACGGTTGTTTTAGACTCTGTCTAAACTGCTAAACTACAGTCAACCGCTTTGTTATAATGCTGTTTATTTATGGCACAATTGGGGTATGGACCCTGACAATTACCCAGTAAACAAATGTACGAGGGAAGCTGACAGTTCACAGTGAATGGAAGAGTGCTAATTAGCAATTATGCTCCATTGTAACTCAACAAATTCACAGTATTGCAAAATGATGTTTAGAAACACAAAATGTACTTACTTTTTATTTTAGCTAGGTCGCTCAAGTCCATGCTCAGTCCTGAAATTAAAAAAAAATAAATAAAAAAAGAAATCAAATGTTAACTTTCCTTCACATTATTCATAAAAATAAAGAATGTGCCGAATCGACTGCAGGATAAGCAGTTAGAGAAGTTCGTAAATCTCATTGCCTATGGAATTGGAATTTTAAGAAAGTAAATAAGCAACTTCCTAGAATCTGTTGGGCGTGTGTGTGCGTGTGTGTGTGTGGGGGGGGAATGGGAGTCAAAATAAGAGGAATAATTAGTCAGAACACCCATTGCCAATTGACTCCATGTGTATAACCACATAAATAAATGAGGCCAGGATATTGGTAGCGTGATGACTTAAGCAGTAGTGACAAATTAAGCCAGGGTCGAGTTGTCAGGAGTTTACTGTATGCATACATGTGAACCAGAGAAGCAAAGGAGCGGTCTCGCCTGGAACACGACTCAATGAATACTCAGGGTCAAGTCTCACACTTAAATGATGGCCACTTGGCGAGATACCAGAGGGTGAATGTTCACCCTTGGAACTGTATTCCAATAGAAGGGAAAAAAATGAGTGAAAAGGCCTTCAACAAAAGAGAGGAAATGAAATAAAAAGCCGTTCGTGATCACGGGTATAGAGAATTAACTGGAACAGGGTGGGCATTGTGTGGGAGAATGGCAAGCAATTACTAGATTGACCCAAACAATATTACTTACTTTCGTTGAGGAATTTCAAATCGTATTTTAACGAACACTATTTATGAGTGATATTGCACCATAGAGCAGTAGAATATCTGTTTGATGCTGAGTGAGTTAGATCCCAATCTCAGTCTGGTTATTAGGGAGTGACTAAATGGAGGTTAGGCATTTTCCCCACAGGGAGGAGAATGAAAAGCATTGCCATGCATCTCTCATCTGACAGTTGTAGAATAGGATCAAGGCCTGGGAACTGGTGCCGTCTAGACTGTCTGCTGGGCAGTGCGGCGTGAAAAAGTATAAATTAGGAAACGAGGTAACAAAATATTTCAAACGTCATTGGTGATTCTCGGTCATAATTCAGCAAACTTCCCCAATCTTGGCAATTAGGCTTCAAATTCAGATGAGTGCATTTATCATAATTCATGCAGCAGTTTGAATGCTAATGAACAGACAAACCTGAGTTGAATGATTCAATGTTGAACTCCGCATTTCTTTCATTTTGCTGAACACTCTTTGTTTGCTCCTCTAAGATCTGATTAACGATGTCAATTCCAGAAGCAAGGTCATAAGGAGTAAGATCGAACGAAGCAGATTCTTCACACATCTTTTCCTAGGATGTAAAGGAAAAAAATCTCCAACTTAACCGCCTGTAGGTGTTATAATAATAATAATAATCCTTATAATATTATAATCTTAAATCAAAAGCTCTGCAGCTTTATTATTAATCAAATTTTGCTCCAGAAGACAATATACAGCATACAATATTTTGCATTGTTCTCCACATAATAAAATATGTGGAATAAATCAATTATATCTCCACTGATACCACAATTTACACAAAAAATGAACCTCATATCTGTGTGTGAACTAGATCAGGTAAAAATAATTAAAGAACAGAACGGTAACATGGGTAAAAAAGATCAAACATCTAAATTAGAGGTCATAATATTTAAGGACCAGTGTGCATTCACAACCCAAAGGACCTTATATAAAGGCCACTTTGTCCCAGTCCTGAGAGGTTGCTGAAGACAGATTTGACTGTTCTAGTAAAAATATTTGAATGTCTTAGATTTAAGATCAATTTGAGCTTGTCATAGAAACAAAAACTGCATTGAAATCCCGTACAAAATGTTTCAATGCAGTTTGATTTCCGCAATATGATTGTCTTACTAAATACCTCAATTAAATGGAAAAACTAAAAGTTACATTGTACAGGAACATTAAAATTGTAAATGCTCATGTCCTTTATTTATTGAAAAATGAACGCGTTAAAAAAGAGTTTGAGTTTTTTTTTAAATCAGGAAAACAAACTTACCACATTATGCGCCTCATCAAAAATAACAATAGTGCCTCGTAAATCTATACTGTGAGCTCTGCGGCTCTAAGGGAATAAAAAGTACTTGAATGAAGGTAATATCAAATTTAACTTAATTAATTTATTTGATTAATTTATTTATTACAACTAATATATGACAAGCTAATCACAACCATAGCTAATGATCAAACAAGGTGCTGAAATTTGCTGACACAGAGACCTTCATTGTTCCATTCTGCATTAGTACGGCAGCACTTTTACCAACTACTGGAGTTACTGGGAATCCTCCCATATGCAATTCTGACTTTTATTTGTTATATATGAGATGAAAGGTTCCAAATGTGTGTTTTAAAAAATTTTCCATCATGAAAGAAGCTGTACTTGGACATATTCTGTGAGGTACAATATTGTTTTTACTGCAATTTATGCTTTTCAATTCTAACTCATAAAAAATGCAATTCTACAGGATCCTTATATAAGATACGTACATCAAAGACATCAAAGGATATTAGGAATCTGGAAAGATTCAAAGTCTCATCACACGTTAGGTTCCAATTTCTAAGCATGCACATATTCCAAGCACACTTATACTAGAATAGCAAAGCAAATTATAATTTCAGATGAACCTTTTGAGGAACGTGACAAAGGAAATAAATACCTTTGGATCAAGTAAATAATTGTATGGCATGAAGATGATTTCAGCATTCTGCTTCAAGGCTCGAGACAAATAATAAGGGCAGACCCTATCAGAAAATAAAAATAAAGCACATAAAATAAGAGTTACCTTATGGTAGAATTTAAATAAAAAAAGAACTCAATTTAATTTAGTACATTTCCATATTGTACATTTACTGTCAAACACATCTTTAACCAGTCAAATTGTCATCTCTGTATGTTTGTAAAGATAATAAGAATTCTGGGTTTTTTCTCCATTAAATCTGAGGTCTAATTACACAAGCCTCTTACATTTGTTGACTTTTTGGATGCATATGGTGAGAACTTCTACCTGGCACTAGATTTATTTTATTACTGTAGCATTTGAAAGTATCCAGAAATTGGCAAGTTCTTAAATAGAGCCTTAACTTTGAAGCCAGTTTAATTAACACAGGTATTTTTATGAGAAACGATAGCTAAGCCATCCTGACCCAACGTCCTCTCGTGCACACTTTCTAGTAAGGGTCACTAAATAATGATCAAGAGCGCCGACTCATCTTTTTTCTGTCCCTCTGTAACTCAAAATATTCGTGAATTAATATTCTGATGCATTGCAAATTTATAATTCTTGTAATAATTTTATGGGGCACTGCTCTGTGAAGAAACGACTGATGTAAGAGTAGGTCATCCCAGAATGTCAACAGTGACATTTACAAGCTCAGAACAACAAAGACAAGCAATGTCCTTTTCCGAGGATTCAATATATGATCACCTAGTTACTGTAATATTTCAGGCTGGTACAAGGGAAATGTAATTAGCCTGACCTCATTTGAACAAACCCTAACCAGACACCGAAAAGTTGAAGAACTGATTTACAGCCTTTTGAAACAATGTCATTTGCCCAAGGCTATATATATAATTTTCCACCATTAGTATAATGAGATGTGGAAGCAGAACACATCAGAACATTCCACTCTGGATAATCAAACTGTACGTACATTTAATAATGTTTGCCCTTACTTAGGTAAAATACTGAAGCAAATGAAGGGGCGAAAAACAAAATAAAAGCAAACTGGGGAAATAAGATAAGGGAAGCTCTTTGTCCTGGGGCAGCAGGAGTGTGGGGCGGAGTGGGAGAAAGAGGCGAAATGATCAAGCTAATAATGACTGATCAACAGCCAAAGACCTCCCTGTAAAGTGCTGTATCTGAACTTCAGGTCAGAACAAGATGAGGTCAACTGTGAAGGCAGACTGAGCAAGAAACTGCTTGAGGCTGTTCTTTGGAAGAAACATAGACAACCATTTAATTGCCTCAACACTAATAATTTTTATTATTGTATTGTGCGCATTTGAAAGCAAAATAATGAAGACACTGAAAAACCCGCAAGTATATTTGTGGATTTTATACCAATGAACAGCTGCTTAATCATATGCTACTAAACTTTCACAACAAATATTTTAACTGAGTTGTGTAAAACAGTCTGATGTCACCATATGTTTTTTTTAAACATGATGTATAGAATTTTGTCCAATGAAGCAGACCTGCATAATAAATCTCTCAAGTTCTGTCAAGTTCATATGTTGCAGATGTTGCAACCTAAAGTGTGGTTTAAATCATCATTATCGTTCCATTTCAATTCTTGTAAGTACATTTGAGAATCAGGCAGACCAGAGGCTTGAACTTGCAATCTTGTGGTTTGGAAACACCCAATGTACAACTTGAACTGCCAAATTATCCAAACAATCTTTTACTGGAAGTTTACGCCATCACCATTTGTCCTTTAATATTAGGAATAGAGTTATGCAGCTGTTAGAGGAAACATCCGATCTTAAAGGCAAATGCAACCATGTGATCCATGAACACATCCACTCTGTAACAGGATCCAAGATTTCAAGGGAAATCACACAATTTTAATGAAAAACTCCTTGCATTCAGTGTTTACAGGGAAAATGCAGCGTTAACAATGTCTCCTTAAAACAATCTAAGGGATAGTTTGAACACCTCCAGTTGTAAAATGGAAGAGACCTAACTAAGTCAGAAATTTGAATCCCTGCCAAACAAACATGCTTAGCCACACTGGGAAAAGATTTACCGCTTCTAGCAGGCAAAAGAATTTCATCTCAGATGGAGAGGGAGCGAATGGAATTGCTTAATCAGAATGATTCAACTGCAAAATTCCAGATTATTTAGGTATGGCTGGTCACTGAAGCTTAGGGAAAAATATCAACCAACTCCCTAACTCCGTATGTAGAAAATTACCCAAGATCAGGGAGGAACTCAATGAGTAATTACCCCAGTGATGATAATTAACCGCAGTTACCATTGCTATAAAGTACAAAATATAACTGTTTGCATGCAATATTTACTGAAGTATGATCAAGACTGTACTCAACACTCCCTCTGTACATTTTTTAAAGTAAATCTTCCAACACAATTCTATACAGTATGTGAGTAATAAAAATATCACAGTTGTTAGGTGTTGTATCTTGAAAACAGGTTAACCTTGTAAGTCCAAGAAAAGAGGTTTCAAAGACACACAACCCTTTTAACTAAAGGTTAATAGTAATTGAGGTCATGTTGGGTTTCATGCAATGTTAATCAGCATAATGTGTGCGCAAGCTTCTGTCAATAGAAGGCTGCAGTTAGGAGACAGAAAACATGACCCAATTGTTCACAATATCTCCACAAGGAAAAAAAAACAAAGATCTATGTAACATGTCATCTACGTTCACTGGGATTAGGAAGCAAAAAAACCCACAAATGTACTGAAATATTTAAGACCATCAACTATTTATTCTTCTGGTAGTTCTCAAAGTATTAAAGTATTGGTGACTTTTCACAAAAGTGCTTATTTTTGTTTGAATGGGTGCAGTTTGGAGTTGTACGGTAATAAAATAATGTTAATAAAAAGGTTTTAACAACAAATGTTTGGGAGCAGAATTATTCCTAACTGTGGAACCATTTGCAAATAACATGCTTATCTTGAATGCTAAATTATTTTCAATTTATAGTGAATATTTCAGACCAGATAAATCGGATTTGTTGAATAATCTCAAATGAAAAAAATATTATGTTTACTTAAGAAATCAATGAACTCAGGTAAACCTAAACCCTAATTTCCTGCTTTTGCTTTAATATCATAGCTTTGTTCAACTCAGAGATCCCTTTAAAAATAAATTACAAACATTCAGTTCAGAGACAATACCTGTGTTTGCTTCCATTTTTAACAAGATCTTCAATATCGAGAATTTTCTCAATAATTTCTTTTTCTGTGCTCTTTTCTGAAATGGATGAAATTGGTAAAAGTAATTAGTTGTTGTTCAGCAAGCTGTGCATTTTTTTGAGTGAATCTGAAACCCATCGATATGTCTAAGAGTATCTTAATCCACAGACTAAGCCTTCCACATATGCATGGAAATTTCTGTTTTTAATACAACAATCTACGAAAGTTATACTTTGAGAGGACACACACACACACACAGCGAACTTGTGAAAATAAAGTATTGTCTTTTGGATCTTGAATAAGCAGGTGGTGATGCAAAAACAGAAATACATATATCAAGGCAACTATATCCTAACTAATTCAATTTGTGGAACCATTAGGGCAAAATTAATACTGCTTTAACCTCAGTTTAGGATATAATTTAAATCTCTGATTGCGATGAGCCTCACTTAAAATAAGATTGATGCTTTCTGCTCTTACCATCAACGTTATTATAAAAGTGGCAAGAATGTGTGGATATTTTTGCTCGGCACATATGGACCTGGAAAAAAATTAATATCAAGTTCATTTAATATTCCAGAATTCAGTATGAAAAGCACTGCGTTACAATATTGTTTAAGTTGTAGAACATTGCAATTGTTTTCTCGACACAAAAGTCAGGATTTCGACATTCAGCAACGAAGACAAAAATCTCAGTATCCATCAATCAAACTTTGCAAACAAGGTAATTAATACATGATCCCGAGTGGCTATTTTATAGGCATTTCAAGATTTTTTTTTGACACATCAAGAGTTAAATTTACAACGTATTCCATTTTAACCTCAATGCATTTTTGCCCATAAACTGAAGACAGAATTTCATTTTTAGGTTGTTTTTGTACTTCACCACCAGGTCCAAAAAGGACAGGGATGGAGGAAGCCCTGTCGCTATAAATAATATTATGAAACACCTGATACCTGGAGACAAATTCAAATCCTAGTTGTGGCTGATATTCGTGCTTAGGATTCCCAAGTGACAGTACTAAAACTCTTAGACCCATTTCGCTGAAATTTAGAAAATGCGTGGGCAGGTCAAATGAATAAAACAACAGTACTGTGGGCAGGATTCCCCTGCGGAATGATGCTTTTCTGGGATATTTTTGTAAAATGGTGTTTATATAAAAAAGGCAAAGTACACCAAGAGAAATCATCGGGGGGGGGGGGGGGTGTGTTGAATAAATTTCACACCAGAAGTTACGTCTATTCTTCTTCAAAATAGTGCCATCTTCTCAATGTTCACCTAAATTCCCCCAGAACAGGCACACGGGACTTGGTTTAACAGCTCACCCGAGGGAATAATTAGAATTGGGCATTTTTAGATCCTACTTTTCTCAATCCTGACAAAGTAAGACATTGTCACTAATAATTACGCACACGAGATAAAACACAGAAATGCAAAGAAACTTTTGTGAAAAGTAGCCATTCGTTAATTGAGAAAAACATTCTCGAGACCAAACAGAAAAAGTGAACAATGTAAAGTAAGGTCACAAAAATATTGCAAAAATAACAGCGATAAGCGAAACAATTTGTACACGTATTCTTACCTTTACATGGTTGCTTTCCTGTTTCATGACTTCAGGATGGATACAAAGCTGTTCTCTTGACCCAAGAACACAAACCTTTGGTCTGTACGGAAAAAGTCAAGTAAGCAACACAAGAGATCACACTGCAGTGGTCAAATCATTCATTCCAATACCTATTGGAAAACCATGGAATTTCTGCCATATAATATCCTCAACATTTCATAAAATTTCACTCTGAATAGAAACATGGAAACAGGTTTAGGCCATTCAGACCCTCGAGCCTGTTCTGCCGTTCTCTAAGAACATGGCTGATCTGTACCTCAAGTCCTGTACCTCAAGTCCAATACTATGAACAAGGATGACACAGATGTTGTGGTAGCACGATATGTTCATCTAATGTGACAAAGTGCCACAAAGCACATTCAATCCTGGCTCAGTGTGACACAAAAACATGAAATATATCTTAAAATGTGACCACCACCACCAACGACAACAAAATTACGTAAGTATAGCGCCTTTCAAGTCGGGAGGACATCCCAAGGCACTGGACAATCAGACAATTTCTGCCTTTACTTTAGTTCTACAACGCAGCCCACAACTGGAGTGTCTGCAATGCTTTATTTTTATGTACAGTAATTGTCCACTGCTTCATAACGGACCATTGGGGTACACTCAGACGTGACAAACTTTAACTTCTGAAAATTCCGGCCCATCATTCAAACTCAATATGAAACAATAAAAACAAAATACAAACATTTAAGGCCATTTTGATGGAATTGGATTTCGAAAGTCCTTGATTACAATCTCTATCGCACCAGGAAAGGATAAGTAAAGAACAAACTGATTTAATTGGTAACTGAAGATTATCCATTAATATTCTCAGAAATCACATACGATTATAATGCTTCCAAGCCATGACCTGTACTAATATTTCCCACTTCAAACGTGAAGAGCATCAGAACTGAAATTCAGAGGATTTGAAAAAGGCAAACAGAAGATTAATTGAGCCTCCACTTGAAGAGATTCCTCACCTGTACGATGTGCTTCTGAGCTCATTAATAACCTGCGTGAGCTGTGAATGAGTCCTCGAGGCATAAATGATCTTTGGGATATCACTGTAATTTGCTGAGAGAAAATATTGAAATCGTAAAGAAATTATTGAAGGCTAAGTAGAAGGTAAATAGCATGTGCAAATTTTAAACCTTGGCAAGTCACGAACTGTTAAAATCTCTAAGCACCAAAGTATAGTGAGGTGATGGGAGATACAACCGCTCCCCCACCCCCCCCACTTTCTGCTCAGTAAACCAACCCACAAGATCAACAGAGTAGTTTCATGAACTGGAGGAAGCACTACCCCACAAAATATGCAGCCAATTCACTTTACAGTATATTCTGTGAAGCGCTTTGAGATGTCTCGAAGACATGCTAAGGCTCTATATCAAATGCAAGGATTATTATGACTATTACCATTCTGGCTGCAGGTCTAAGCGTGGATTAGGTATTAACTACAGTTCTAATTGGGGGGTTTGAGAGACCGAGTCACTTTGTTATAGCATATTGCCACGATTGTTTGGATAAGTTCCGTAATTACTACTCTATGTGACCTTTGACGATACATGGCCCAACAGACTCATTTGGCATAGCCACACAGCAATTCGAAAAGAAGAGAAAAGCTATTTACTAAAAATCATCTTTTCATAGATCGTGCAAAACCTACTTTCTTTATGAACTTGACTCCAATTGCTCTACCCCCCGAGGACAGTTCTACACGGATCCACACTCTACTCAAATAGAGTTCCCAAGCAGTTAGACAGTTTCATGCAAACACCGTATTTGACCACGTTCCCAAGATAGAGAATAGAAAGACCATTATCAATCAGTATCTTCAGGAATGGAGATGAGGAATTAAACTAGATATTACCTGAATGATCATCCACAGATGCACTCCCCCATGAGGACAGTGATCTTCCTTCAAAAAGCTCCTCCCCGTTCATGTGTTGAGCTATTTTAGATGCTGAAATGCTATCTTTAAACTGTTCTCTCCAAGCCAGGGTAGCACACAAGAGACACAATGTTTTTCCTGTGCCTGTAGGGCTCTCCAGAACTCCATTTACTTTCTGCAAAACAACAAGCGTGAACCGATAAGAAATTGTCTACGTAAAAACACCCGTCAACCTGTCTGCTTTCGCTACTTTCGCAGTTGCCGAGATGAGACACAAGACCTGTGAAAGGCAATTCAGATCAGCGGAGGGGGAAGGAGTGAAAGAGAAAGATAAGACAATTTACACAGAGGATATATTAGCGGCAATCATGAATTGATTGACAAAATCACACCGTCTGCTAAGGCCCACGCATAAGTTATTCACTTTACAGACAAAATATATAGTAAATTCACTTTAGGATAAATTCTGTGAAGCGCTTTGAGACATCTCGAAGACGTGATAAGGCGCTATATCGATGCAAGGATTATTATTATTATTATTCACATTGCAAAGCTGACGATCACCTTTCTGTTTTATAGTATAAAGACGTTTTTAAGTATACAAGCGCTTTGAGATGTCGTAACAATGTGATGAGGTGCTATATCAAATGCAAGGATTATTATAAATGATAATATGCCTCTACGTCAGCAGGCCATAATCATGCAAGGGCGTAAAAATAAAATCGCACTGAATCAATATATCTTTAGGTTGGCGCACAGAACCGGGACGCATCACAGATTGCATTTTATTTGTTCGTGTTCTCTCCCCAGGCGAGTTCCTCAACGGTGAAGAGTATCAACCACTCCCAGGACAGGGATAGAGTAGCCAAGATGAAGAGTAAATCGCCCTCTTCTCAAGGTGCCTCAAAGCAGGAACTTGAAACGAGCAGCTCCACTGCACAAAACAAATGTGACATTTTCATTGTTTCTGCACCAGACGTCTCAGATGTGTAATTGGGTCTGTCTGGGAAGACATCGTTCCATCGCCATGTCACAGAGGTAATCCAAAACATTATTGCTTGGTCATCAGTGATGCTTGGGAGTGCAAATGTGCACCCAACTCTGAACCGACGGTTACATTGGTCCAAACTGATCCAACACAATAATAATAATAATCCTCGCATTTGATATAGCCCTTTTCACGTCGGGAGGACGTCCCAAAGCGCTTCACAGAACACACTGTAAAGTGAATTGACTGTATATTTGTGGGCGAACGCGGCAGCCAATTGCGCACAGCAATGTCCCACAAACAGTCGTAGATTGAAAATGACCAATTTATTATTTTTTGGGGGAAGGGATTATTATTAGGCTCTGTGTGGAGTAAGGAAACTTGCCCAAGGTTTCGCCCTCTGCCTGGAATTGAACTCAGGTCTCTCGCTTGCAAAGCGAGTGCTCTAACCACTGAGCTACAGGACTCCGTCACAGAGGTAATCCAAAACATTATTGCTTGGTCATCAGTGATGCTTGGGAGTGCAAATGTGCACCCAACTCTGAACCGACGGTGACATTGGTCCAAAGTGGTCCAACACAATTAAGCCACAATTAAACTACACGGATATTATCCCAATTTATTGCTCGAAGGGGATGAGTGATTCAGTCCTGTGGACTCACATCCACTAAAAACACGACCGTTGCATCTAACACCCTCAGGTATTGTACTCCAGACAAAAAAACTTCTCCAGTTTGGTAATTTTTACGTCGGTTTCAAATCTCAATGTGCGAAAACTTTGACAACAATCTCCCAACAATGCACTGTTTAGTGTACAGTACAAACAGTTTTACTGTAAATACAGTAACAACAGGTTACCTTGTGCAGACATTCGATCACCTTCGACATATAATCTTCCTGGCATTTGTAAGGAATGTAAGGAAAATCCACACTGATCCCATTCAGCTCTATTCTGGGCATTCTGCCTCTGATAGAAAAAAAACGGACAATGAAAAATTAAAATAAATTGTCAGGCGTCGGCCGTGGCCGCCAAAAAGACAAAACGCTGCAGGTTTGTTGGCGCGCAGTCATTTCACGCGCCTGCGCGCCGCGTTTCCTCTGCAGAAAATTCCTCGAAACGCCAATGTGTCCGCGCGACCAGAGGTGAATCCCGCGGGAAGCGCTTTTAGAGGTCCGGCCGACCGGGCCGGGCCGACCGGGCCGGCGCAAAAGGCGCTGTGTGGAATATTATTTATGATTATTTATGATGATCATGAAGCAGGTCAGACGGCACGATCGCACGGTTCGGCGAACCTCCCACTGGTTTCCCAGCTGACGGCCAACCTGCCGAGGGGGAACCGAGTGGGATGATTCCCTCCCTCCCTCCGGAGAGACCCCCCACCGCCCCCCCCCCCCCCCCCACCGCACAGGGCTGACTCCATCCCGGAATTCTGATGGAATTCACACCGCCCCCCCCCCCCACACCCCGGCAGTGTGGGGGGGGCGCCCAAACCCGGAGGGCAGAGAGAGCGCTTCGGTGCTCCGAGACCCTAACCCCGGGCGAAGGGCGCTGCGTGACTGTTTTTAAGCAGAAGGAATGACATGACAAACTGCGTTACCGGACGGGAGAGTCTGCGACGGTGCGTCAAGTGAGGACTTAAGTGTTTTGAGGAATGATGCGTGTGACAGCGCAGTGGGGGGGGTGTGGGGGGGGGGGTGTGGGGGGTGGGGGGGGGGGGGGGTGACCGCACCACTGTACACCACTGCGGTGCTGCGCAAGAGAGCCTTATGGTACAGGAGAGAGCTGAGTCACCCGCAGGACTGCGTACGGAAAGGTATTACTGTACGGGGGGAGACGGTGTGAATCATCCACATTACTGTACGAGGGGGTCAGCGTAGGACTGGACAGGGGAGAGGGTGTATAAGGGGGGGGGTCAGTGTGTACAGGGGGAGACTGTGTCGGGGGGGGGGGTCAGTGTGTAAGGGGGGGCAGTTTGTACAGTGGGGGGGCAGTGTGTGGGGGGGGGCAGTGTGTGGGGCAGTGTGGGGGCAGTGTGTGGGGGGGGGTGTGGGGGGGCAGTGGTGGGGGCAGTGTGTCGTGGGGGGGCAGTGTGTGGGGGGGGGCAGTGTGTGGGGGGGCAGTGTGTGGGGGGGGGGGCAGTGTGGGGGGCAGTGTGTGGGGCAGTGTGTGGGGGGGGGGCAGTGTGGGGGGGGGCAGTGTGTGGGGGGGGGTTGTGGGGGGGCAGTGGTGGGGGCAGTGTGTGTGGGGGGGGCAGTGTGTGGGGGGGGGGCAGTGTGTGGGGGGCAGTGTGTGGGGCAGTGTGTGGGGCAGTGTGTGGGGGGGGGGGTGTGGGGGGGGGGGCAGTGTGTGGGGGGGGGGTGTGGGGGGCAGTGTGGGGGGTGTGCGTGGGGGGGGCAGTGTGTGGGGGGGCAGTGTGTGTGGGGGGGCAGTGTGTGGGGGGGGGGGGGGCAGTGTGTGGGGGGGCAGTGGGGGCAGT